TCCTCCTGACAAGTCCATAAACCCCCTCCATCCCTTTCTAAACCATGTTTACAGCTCCCCACAATTTACTTGACTCTGCCCTATTTTGTATGGGGCCATCCAATATTCTGTTACCTCTCAGGTAACAGTATTTCCACTTTTTTCCCCCTATAGTTCACTTCAGAAATATCGACTCTGGAAGACTGCCTGACGCATTTCAGTACCGAGATTAATACAAAAATGTCGAAAAAAATATAAACACTGGCCATAACTAAGTGCCCTGAACCTTCTGATATCACTGCCACTGCTTGGGTAAAATCAGCAATAAGTAAGCTTGGGCCTTATGATATAGTCTTACTTCTCAAATCTTAGGAACCTTCTTTAGAAGATGCCATAACACCAGATACAGAATTTGATTGCTATTCCTGAATACCTACCAAATGAACTAGAGTAACCTTTCATGATAATGGGTTTCTTAACCATCATCTGTCACCTGCATTGTAAGTCATTTCATTCATATTATATACTATAATTAAACTAATTGCTTCGGCTGCTGATGTTGCAATAGAATCTTACTTCCTGATTGTTCGGCATTGCACATGGAAGGGTGTTTGATTCCTTACAAATCCAATCACCCACAGCCTGTTGAAAGACTGAACTACAACTCTCCTAAGTCTAATATTGGCTTTCAAAAGTAGTCGAAAAACCATTTGTGGGACGAGTCAGTGTGTTGCGTTCGATTTTGCTCACATCTCGTATTATCAATACGGTTTGTGTTTCCTGTCTCAGTATCACATTTGTGCACATTTAACTTGCTCAGGGTCCATACAGTTCAGACTGAACGGCTCCATCTCGCTTACTGATCACAGGCAAGCTAAACTACAGCCTAGCGGTTTCCTGAAACTCAATCGTTCAGAAGCCGAGCTTCTTATCTTCCCTCCTTCGAAAACTAACTCTACTTTGTCACTTTCTCTGCAGGTCAAAGGTACAACTGTTAACCTGACCCCACAAGCTTGCTTCCTCAGTATTACATTGGGATCACTTTTACTCCACACATCCAGTCTATATCCAAATCCTGTAACTGTCACCTTAACACATTGTTTGTATTTTGCTCTTTCTAATGCAAGCTGTAACTAAGACACTTGTTCAAGTCCTTACCTTTTCCCAGCTTGGCTACTGTAACTTAATCCCGTTTGGCCTCTCCAAAGCACATAGTTCCCTGCTAGGATCTCTGACGAATGCTACTGCCCAACTAAGTATGTACCTATAAAAATCTAATTTACACCTCATTACATTACTTCAACAATTCACAAATACGCTATTTCCTAGTTACTATGCCTTTCTCCACAGTTCATACACATGGGATCAATCAAGGACAGCATCATTAATATGGTAAAGCCGACCACATTATATTGGGTTTTTCTCAGTGTCTTTATTCTTTTAAATAGGCCCTGAAAACACACCTGTTTAGGCAATCGTTCCATAATTTCCCTAACCTAGCCGCTCTGTGTCTACCTAAAATACAACCCATTTAACTCCCCCACCTTTCCACACAATAGCTGTAATACACACAACTTTTGCTTTAATTAGTTTAACTAGATGCAGGTTTTATACCTGAAAATCTCATCCACCTTTTGTAACACTGGTTCTTACCTTTTTTTATATTTTCTAGATTCTCTTCTCCTTTTTCTCCTGGTAAAGGAAGACTCCAACCACCATAACCACTACATGATGTTGTAGTGGTTATGGTGTCAGGAGTGCCCTGGTACCCTACCACGGAAAGTAGACAAGATATTGAGTATAGTTGAGGTAAGCAGAGCAATGCTGGACCACATTTGGAGAGCACTGAGTGCTCAGTTGACGCACCATAACCACTGCAACCATTTGTGTTAGGGGCAAAAAAATCGCTAGAATAAGAATGGTGTGGAGCAAGGTAAGAAGTCCCTTTAAGCAGGGAAATCATGTCCCTCCCACAATTACAGGCAAAAGCCTTAATACTTGTGTTAGGGGCTAAAAAGCCATATAGAGTGATAGAGAGAATATAGGAATAGTGTAATACAGAAATGGAAAAAGTCGGTTGAGGTGTGCCGGAACCGACGATGCTGGTAGGCCTGTAAAATAAAAAGGTCAAAAAGGAGAAATACTGTAAAATCGTTAATACAGTCAACAATCAACATACATCATTATACCCAAGGTTATATGATAATGCTTGACGGAGTTCCAATACTGGTTGTGGAAAGTACCGTGAATAAGCGGAGGACATACAATGACCTAATGTTTAATTATGTGTAGTGGTATAATTCTGCTTGTAGCCATGGATGCTGCCCCTAAAGAGTGACCAGTATAATGGAATGGTTTAGGCCTGGTCTTCTTGACTAATGTTCTGACATAATTCATGAACGAGATATATTTGATGGTTGTGTGATAATTAAGCAAACAGTAGTAAAGTAATCATGGCAAAAGTGTCATTAAAGGACCACTATAGGCACCCAGACCATTTCAGCTTAATGAAGTGGTCTGGGTGCCTGGTCCAGCTAGGTTTAACCATTTTTTTTTTATAATCATAGCAGTTTCAGAGAAACTGCTATGTTTATATTAGGGTTAATCCAGCCTCCAGTGGCTGTCTCTTGACAGCCGCTAGAGGCGCTTGCGTGCTTCTCACTGTGAAAATCACAGTGAGAAGACGCCAGTGTCCATAGGAAAGCATTGAGAATTCTTTCTTATGGACTGGCTGAATGCGCGCGCAGCTCCTGCAGCGTATGCACATTCAGCCGAAGAGGAGGAAAAGAGGGAGGAGAGGAGACCTCCCTGTCCAGCGCTGGAAAAAGACTTGTTGTCCGGTAATTGATGGATACCTGAGCAGATGTTGCCTGAAAATTAATGATAGCCCAGAGACAGATTAGTGTTGAACGTAGATAAGTGATGCACATATCAATAGTCAAGTTGATAAATCAACATATATGGGGAAATTAACTGTGAGTACTATAGGTGGAGAAACGGAATAGTAGCAACATTGTATAAAAAAGAAATTGTAAGTAACTAGGATCAGTATCCACAAGAATATATGATAAACAGTGTTTACTTAAACCCTAAAATGGACAGATAATTCAGTAGAATTGCAATTGAGCTAACTAGTGAATTGGAAACCAACCACCAACGACCCCTAATTAGGATAACTAAACCAAAGTAACCTGCTTTAGCAGATGAGCTTCATGAGGGCTACGCAAGATGTATGTACAGTAAATGTATGTACAGGTTAACATTGTATTTCTTAACCCTAACCCTATGTATCGACCTAAGCATGCGCATAACCTAAATTCATTTAGTTAATTGCAACACCTGCTATGTAGGGGAGCCAAACTGAATTTTCGTAATAGTTTGTAGAAAGAGTTAAATAAGCCGTGGTTGGCCAGCCATAGTGGCTTCCATGAGTATGAAGTGGAGAGGCTTAACTAATGATGACATGGTATTATAACAATTTATCACCATGAAACTGATAAGCGTGATATTGCAACATGTATGTATGCTAATTCCCTTATAGCTATAAAACGTCTTGAAAAAGTACAGATAGCATGTCAGAAAGTCAATATAGAAACAGATACAAGAAACGGTATCCGTATATTTAGAAGTGGAATAGCAGTAACATAGGTGCAGAGAGCATAGAATAAACTGTGTTGATCCTGGAGAAGCAGTAAGAGAAGTTGACCTACAGGTGATTTATGTTAAAGGGATGCTCCAGTGCCAGGAAAACAATCCGTTTTACTGGCACTGCAGGTCCCCTCTCACTCCCACCCCCCCATCCCAGGTTGCTGGGATGTCCCTTGGTTCTGGTTCAGGGTTTGCCCATGCTCCTCCCCGGCTGACATCATCCGGTGGGGGAAAACTCCCCAGCGGCGGGGGAGACCTAATGCACATGCGCGGCAATGCCGTGCACGCGCATTAGACCTCCCCATAGGAAAGCATTGAACAATGCTTTCAGTGCTTTTCTATGGGGATTTCAGCGACGCTGGAGGTCCTCATATAGCGTGAGGACGTCCAGCGATGCTATAGCACAGAAAATATGTGCTATAAACCAGGATGTGCCCTCTAGTGGCGGTAAATATTGCAGTTTATGAAAACTGCAATATTTACAGTTGCAGGGTTAAGGGTAGTGGGAGTTGGCACCCAGACCACTCCAATGGGCAGAAGTGGTCTGGGTGCCTGGAGTGTCTCTTTAAAGAACCGAGACTTAGTAGTATGTGTATAGGAATGTACCAGGCGAGCGTTAGAGGCGCAAATAAGTAAAAACCTTCTTGCAGAAATCACATTTATTTAAGTAAACCATATAAGGAGACTGATGAGACCTGTAAATTGATAGTGAAATTTAGGCCCCAAACAAATTTCGGGACCAATACAGGGAGGATAATTCCTAGTTTGGGGAATATGCACATCATATAAGAGAAAAATGTTTCATGACATTCAAGCTTAAACCAGGGCCTACACCAAAAGATTGTTTAGAGGTGTATGATTGTAACTGTATGCAGACTTACCATAGTTAATTAAACCAAACATAGAGTATCACCAGATATATAAACATACACCTAGTTGGGTTACCTATCTGTAGTATTATGATAACCAGCTATTTATTTAGTAAAATGACATGTTGTAAGTAATGCAGTAATTAACCTTATATACTACATGACCACTAGAGGTCAGTATTCCGTTTCCAGACTAGTTTCGGGTGAATTGCAAAAACTGTGCAATTAACTATACGAATTTTCACACAAAATTTACCAAACTGACCATTAACATAGAATAGTAACCTTGTGAAACAGACTGAAACTAAATCATTCAGTAAACACGAAATGATAGAAACATGAAAAAATACACGAAAAGAATATGCGACCTGTATAAGTAATTGAGATAGACCTGACCCGTGATGACGCCGTGGGACTGTGACCACAGCGCGACGATTAGGTCAGTATCTTACGGTTTTGGCGCGTTTCTGGATCTCTCAGAATATTGTTCACAAACATGTCTGAATCTGTGTTAGTGAGCACTTCTCCTTTGCCGAGATAACATTTTGCACATTTTAGAGTGGCCTTTTATTGTGTCCAGCCTAAGGCACACCTGTGCAATAATCATGCTGTCTAATCAGCATCTTGATATGCCACACCTGTGAGGTGGATGGATTATCTCGGCAAAGGAGAAGTGCTCACTAGCACAGATTTAGACAGATTTGTGAACAATATTTGAGAGAAATAGGCCTTTTGTGTACATAGAAAAAGTCTTAGATCTTTGAGTTCAGCTCATGAAAAATGGGGGCAAAAATAAAAGTGTTGCATTTATTATTTTGTTCAGTGTATAAATATATGTATATATATAGGATCAAACACTGCCAGTGAATAGAGCTAGAATTCTACTAAATGACTAATACATATTGTATAAAAACTGGCGTTTCAAAATACAAATTACCATCAGTTTCGTAAACAAAGTATCTAGTGTCTCAGCAGGTTTTATTGTCAGAACGCCAATTATATCACAAGAATAACTTTTTATGAACACCTGCAGCTAAATAAATATTTAAATTCAGAATGCAGATAAAATTTGACCAGTCCCAAGATTTAAACCTTAGAGTGATTTGGCCTCTTCGTGGACCTAAATTTCGAGACAGATAATTTATCAGATTATTTTTCTGATGAAGAGAGTACCTCCTTTCTGTAATTCTATTATACATATCAACAATTTAGGCATAACCTTTTTAGGGACTCTCATCTGGATTTGGGTAATAAAGCCCATTTTTGAGCTGATCACCTGAAGATTTAGTTTATATGGTGATCTGACCTCTTGTCTTATTAATTGTTGGAGATAGTGATATACTTGTTCTGAAAGGAAGAGATTGTTGTTCTCCTAATTTCAAATTATATTTAATTTTGGTGCCATACTATCCACCAATATACAATTTAAGATAAGTTAATATAGGAAGTCTCTAAGTATGAGTGAATGGAATGTTTATTCTTTTTTTTTTATGTCTACATCTGTACTTAGGTGATCACCTTCACTGCGGATTGCATTATCACATCTTTATACGACTATAACATATTAACTCCTCTCTAATCTCCTGTTTTTTATAAGGATAACCTTAACTATTGCCTTTACAATTTATTCTTAAATACAAGTGTATATATATAACTGCATAATGTTTAAACATGATCATAGAATTAAAATTACACTTGGTGTTTAGTACTTTTTTTTTTTATAGATTGTTATTTTATCTCATTTTAAATATCTATTTAGAAAGTTATTCTAGTGATCTATTTGCCATTCTGACGATAAAACCTGCTGTGACACTAGATACGTTGTTTACTTTCATAAACGGATGTTAATTTGTATCGTCAAACCCCAGTTCTTAAATTTTATACAATATGTATTAGTCATTTAGTGGCATTGTGTGCCTCTATTCATTACCAGTGTTTGATCCCCTGGTAGGAGTTTTTTTAATTTGTATTATATATATTTACAAGGGTTCGTGCTTTCTTGGTATCTCTTTGAAATGATGATGACGTGGTTTGTACAGTCTATGCAAAAGCCCTGAAGATGACAACTGCTTGTCACCTGACTAAGTTCCTGTTTACTGTAATCTGCATTATGACCATAACATTAGCATAGTCAGGCTGTCCTATGCTGGGATCAGGAATGAAGATTAGTTGCTCAAGATCTTTTGAGAAATCAGGTCCCATTCTCTTCTATTTTCTATAAAATATAATGGAGTAAACAAAAACAAATATGCCCTTATTTTTTTTTTTGTTATTTAAATTTTCTAGCCTTCATACACAACTGCTGTAGAAATCAATGCAAGCTGATTTCCATAACCAGTCAACTTCCGGCAATATGTAGGCTCCTGACCCAATAATTATGTGTTCCAATCTTTCTCAGAATTTAATCACACTTTCTTTTTAAGACTGGGTTGTTTCCGTTCCAACTTTTCCCGTGTTTTGCTACTTGACAAACCAGCTACTGATGGCAAAACTAACGTAGAGAGGGCCCTCATGCAAGAATTTTTTTTGACTCTCTCTAGCCCAAACATTGCTAAAAGATAGATCTCCGGCTGTCATACAACTTCCACAATGTTTTTCCCGCTGGGGATCTAGCAGAGCTGTATTTGTGAACAGTGTTTGTGTTTGAATGTAAGCATGTTTTGTGTGTTTTTGTATGTATTGTTGCTATTTGAATGCAATAGTGTACTTGTATTCAGTGTTTGTGTTTCAATGCATTGCACTGTTAAAGGGATGTGGGATCTAACAGGGTTCCTGGTTAAGGACCAGGGCCACCCGATGGGCCCCTTGAGTCTGCGGGTCCCATTGCAGCCAAGTGCAAAAGTTCCACCACTGATCCGATAGACACGTGGTATTGATTATCCAAGATTTACTGGTGTTACTATGGTATGTAATGCCTGATATACATTTTATTGTATTTTTTAAATAAATATACAAATGGAAAGTCCTCTACAATTGTAGGGAAAATTTACCGGGGTTGACCATTTGTAGTGAGTGCACAGAGCAACCGCTGTTATCAGGGCAGGCCTGGATCCAGACATTGGACAGATATTACTGGCAGTAGGGGAGTTAATGGTCTGTATTCTCACTGCACAGCTCGCTCGCCACTGTGTACTAATTATGGGAGCAGTGATGTAACATCACGCCAGCCCCTGTGTCAGTGCATAGCTCAAGGGAACTGTACATACAATAATTCCTGCAGCACCGCTGAACACCAGGGATCGAAATACAAAAGTGTGTGTAAAATCTACAGTTTGGGGGTGGGGGGCAATTCACAGAATTGTCAGATAATCTACCTACGCTCCTATCACCATATATATAAAGATCCTATATCACTGTATGTAAAGTCCATTTAAAGTGAATCTTTCAGCTGGCACTCCCAGGCCAGCAGAATCTGCATGCTCATCACAGCCAGCCTTAATGATGACCAGGTGCCCAGTAGGGTCAGGTAAGAAGGGAAACCTTTGCAAAAAAAATGCGCCCAATTACATGGAAACAGGGCCAGAGCACTCCTCATATAATAACCACTACAGCAGGTTGTAGTGGCTGTGATGCTTGGAATAACCCCTAAAGGTTATATTTAAGTAGTTCAGTTCCATAAAGTTTGTGTTTTCCTCAGAATACTTAAAAGACCTATTTTCTTCCAAGCAGTGGAACTAGTGTAGAGAGGGCCATGGTGCAAGAATTTGTTTGGGCCTTCCTATCGCAAGGTTAGCCATACATCCCCATCTGTTGTACAACTCCAACAATGCTTTGCCAGCTGAAGATCTACTATTTGCTCATCCTTACAGGGTTGAATTTAGCACTGAGCATTGTTTGTTTAAATTTAAGCATGTTTTTGTATGGTATATGTGTGTGTGAATGTAGAGGTGTATCTGTGTGTTGTGTTGTGTGTTTTTATGTACATAAGTACATCATTTGAAAGCAGTGGTGTACCTGTGTGTAGTGTTTTTCTTTGAATGTAGTGTTGTGTTTGTATGTAGTCTTGGCATTTTAATACAGAGGTGTGTTTGTATGTAGTGTTAAAGCTTGCATGCAGGTGGTGTATGTGTGTGCAGTGTTGGTGTTTGAATGCTGAGATGAATGCAGATAAACACATACACTGCTACACACATATACACACACTGACACATGTAAATACACAGACTCACACACTGGCACTCATGCACATACACAAACACAGAGATACAAACAATGAAACAAATACAGACACCCATGCTGGTCAAAACGTACACATATTTAGTCACATTTCTGTTTTGTACTATTTGGGTGCCAGAGAGTGGCTTTCCTTTGGTCCACTTGGACCCACTAGCTTAGGCTGTTGGAGGCTAGTCAGAGGCTTGATATCCAAGCTGCTTCCCAGGTATGCAAATACCAGTTATGTAACACATTTCATATTTCAGTTTTGTTTTTTTTCATTTATCATTTCTTTTGCATTTGTCACACTGCAGTTATAAATAAATACATTAAATCTTTTTGTTTCAGGCTTAATTATAGGTGACGGAATCACATGCAAGCCTGAAGTGATCTCTGAACAAGATTTATCAGTGAGTGATTTTCATTTACATCTCAACCAAGATGACATTCATGAAATACTCTCCTAACTAGAAGACGTGTAAGAGGTTGGTGGGTCCTGGGCAGAATTTTTAAAGGTGAATTTCCTCTCTACTCACACTATACCCTTTTCTATCTCTTACCCCCAACCATCTATGTTATACCTTAACCCCTGATTATGAGACATGCCTGTGGAGGCCCTCATTTGAAGGTCTAAACCAAGCTGATATCATTCATTGTTTTTAACTATATACCACCAACCTCCATGTCAGAGGGATAAAAGTGGACCATTCACCATAGAGACATGATTTGTCCATTCCAGGAAGTTCAGCCACATTTTCTAAAAACCCTAACTTTCACAAATCTCCCCCTCTATCTGGGCTAGAAATCCTTCCTGTAAAACGTATTCAGTGATATGAAGCCTGGTTCATAAACAAGAATGTTTTCGTTTAGCTATGATTTTATGGGAATGTAGACTTTATATCTGGTGGTAACATTCTAACATCTAGCATTGTCTCACCTCACCCTGTGGTCACCTCAAATACCAAACAACTCCAGGCACATCTTACTAATCATTGTCGCAGCCTGATAGACCCTAGATAATAGCGTCCACTGGGAAATATCCCATCTACCAAATACAGACCAGGGAGAACTTTGAGATTATGAGCTACTAGCATATGCCGAAACCTGAACAAATCCTGCGGTGCTTCATTCCTGCAGCACTCTGCCAACAGCTCCTCATGACATTATAAACTGCAAGCGAGTGGTGTGACATTGTTGCCCAAAACCCCTGTATGCTAGTGGCCTAGTGGAGGTGGGTCCCCTCTTATGTCTGACTTGATGAAAAAACTCTGAAATGTTTTGCACTAACACTAAAAACTATCAAGTAACAATGCATGACCCAAAATATATAATTTTTGGGTTTTTTTATTACAGACTGCCACAGATCACTGAACAACTGGACTATGCTGAGCAACACAAGGGAAGGAAAGGTTTCCAATGAAATGGAAGGACTGATGGACAAAGTGAAGATGCAAGACATCTGCTTAGAATGTCTAAAGAGTGCTTTGCCTTTTCGACCAGTCACCAAGCATCGGTCGAATGGCGTAGTGCCTCACCAGAGCTGGGTCTTACCTTGTAATCCTAAAAATCATCTTCCTACCAACCACTGCGGAGTAACAAAAGCTTTAATTACAGGTGGCGCGGGTTACTTAGGACATAACCTTGGGTGCACATTGATCAAATTAGGAGTGTCTGTTGTGCTGTTTGATGTACATGAGCCGGAATGGGAAATCCCAACTGGAGCTGTGTTCATGAAGGTAAAAATATTTTTTAAAATAGTAAATACAATAACCCACAACTACATTTATTCATCTACTTTATGTGATGGGTCAAAATGCACTCCTTTTAAGCATAACACATTAATGGAACACTCAATGCAGGGGTGACCACAACGTAGATCCCCGAATGATTTTAAAACTACAACTCCCATGATGCTTTGTCATTCTAAAAGCAGTCTTAAGGCATGTAAATCATCATGATGTAGTTCCACAACATCTAGGGATCTACCTTTTGGGCAACCCGTCCCTAAAGCATTTCAGCTTTAGTCAAGGTTTAGTTGTGTGAGTGCTAATACTGATTGTTTAGTTCCTTGGCACAAAGTGGATTGTTATATCTTCTCACAGAGAAGTATTTAATTCTATGCTTCTACATAAGAAAATATTTCATAACATACGCTCCCATTGTTTCTCCCAGTGGTCCGACCTTCTTTTCTGATAAAGTTAAAGCGGAAATTTCACATCCACAAAAAATATATATTTAGACGCTATTTAGACAGAATTCACTTCAAGTTGATGGTCTGAGTCCATTTATTCCATCCAACCATGGATAGAACTGATGTCACTAATGCAGTAGTAGGAACTTTCAAATTAGTGAAAACACAGTAGAGTCCCCACTACTAGACACCAGGGACCTTGGCCAGTTAATTTTATGTGTGTGTGTAGGCGGCCTCATGTTCAAGTTTTGCCTAAGGCCTCACAAACTCTAAAGCATTCTCTGGCTTCTGCTCTCATTATCGACATTTATGTTTTTTCGTTTTGGGCACCAATACAACTTTCATGCATGTGATAGGATTTGGCCTCATTAATATGCTGTATTTTTGTGAGCTCAAATATTTGTTGTTTTTGCAAAAAAAATCTAATTGAAAACGTTTTTGTTATTTTTTTTATAATTAAATGCTTTACATAAATAAATTAAAACTTCTGAAGCCGAGTGCAAGAAGAAACTTTCATAGTGCAATATTTATTGGTACAGGTTGTTAAAATGAATAATTCGGCCCCCAATGTACAGGGTACTCACAAAATCTGTGCCACAAACTGACACTAGCTGTTCAGAATGCTTCATAAACTCATGTAGAGTTAAAATCCACCGCGATCACCGGAACTTCTGAAAATTTCCCCCTGGTGCTGCTTCCAACTATGTACAATAGCAAGTTCCAACACACAGGGTGTGGAGTCCTGGCAGATACAAAACGGTGTAGTGGTGATAGTTCAACTCCAGAGCGTTTCCTGGGTCTGCACCCACAGAACGTTGATCAATCACCCACATCTTAAATACTTGAAATGAACCACTTAGTTGGTAATTCGTTTGATAAAACAGATCTCACGTACATTATTGATGGTTTTCGATAGTGAAATTAGTGAGTATTTATGTCATATTTTCCCTATTTTGGGATGACACTAATTTTATAATTTGCAACACTTAGGAAATAAATTCATGTCGGCCAACAAGGCACGTTTGAAACTCACTTTGAACGTGAAACATGCAGAAGCATGTGAACAATATACCCAAAGTAGTGCTCAGTGCAATACAGAAAGTAGGTTAATTGATTCTTATTTTTATGAGCTAAACGATTATGATTATTTCGTCTCCCGTGCATTCCTGTAAAGAATGAACGGTCAACATATTAAAATAAAATCAGTTAAAGGAGCAGTATGGACACCAATACAACTTTAATGTTTTGGCCCAATTAGTATGTTTTATTTCTTTCCATATTGTTGCAAAATGTTGCACCCTAAATCTGTATCATTAGCCAAGACCCCCCAAAAAAGAGTTCTGTATCATTATCATTGGGCAGACTAGATGGACCGAATAGTTCTTATCTGCCGTCACATTCTATGTTCCTATTATATGTACACAGCTCGGCTACTAATAACAGTGGGCTGGAAGCTGTTTCATTTAAAGATTTTCTGCTTCTAGAAGTGGTCATGATGGTAGGAGTCTGTGATATTTGCGCTTGTGTGCTGGGGACTAGTTACAACTCCAGCACATGTGACTTTTGCAGCCAAATGTCATAACCGGTGTATGTCGCCATATGGGCAGGAGGAGATGGTTAAACCCTTTAAACACTTTCAAACCTATTTCCCCTATTCCCAAAATAATTCCAGACTACTCAGGGGTATGGGTCAATATGTCCACAGCTTTATTAAACATTGTGCATATATTAAACATTTTAAAAGTCATTGCCCTGCCTCCACCCAACCATACGTCAACATACGTATCCCTTACCTCACCAACAATAATAGTAATAATAATAAGGTAATGACCCATATGTAATATATACTTATTATAATGTAACCACAAACATACATAACCAAATAACATAATATATGCATATATACACCAAAGATATTTACAAAATGTAATGCCTCCTGGTAGGGGAAATACCCGGACACTACTACCCCACCAACAGGGCCAGATTAAGAGCCCAGTGGGCCTGGTGCTGACAATTATGATGGGCCTAATTACAGAATCTTATCGACCAAAAACACTAAAACAGTCATACCTCCCAAGCGTCATGTATTTTGATGAGGATGGTGCCTGAGGGAAACTCATAGGATTCAGCTATAAGAAAACACACCTATGCTAATATCGTGCTTTCATCTTTCAAGTAAACCCATACTCCCTAACAGTAAAGCAGGAAGTCTATGGATGGGGTAAAAGGGTGGGCCATTGACACAAATCACATAACCAGAACTGCCGAAAGGGGCGAACATACACAAAAAGGGGGCATGTCTGTGTCCCCATGTACCCCAGTGTCCCCTTGTCACTAGGACACTAGGGGACATTGAGAGACATGGAAACATGGGGACACTGGGTGACTTTGAGACACGAGGGGACACTGGGAGACATGGGGCACTGAGACACTATAATACATAGGGGACACTTTAGACTTCATAAAGACCTGGGTACAGGTCAAAACTTTGCAGTGTTCAATAAACCTCCTTAAATCTATCACAGTGAGTGCCTGAGATTATTTTCTTTTATACTAGGGGACACTGAGACACTTGGGGGCACTGTGAGACCAGGGCATTCTGAGAGACTAGGGGACACTGAGACACTAAGGACACTGAGACACTACAAACACAGAGACACCAGGGACACTGGGAGACATGGAGCACTAAGACACTCTGATACATAGGGGACAATGTGCTACAAAGGGGACACTTGATAAAGACCTGGGTACAGGTCGAAACATTGCGGTGTCCAATACACATGCTTAACTCTATCACAGAGTGCCTGAGATTTTTTCTTTTATACTAGGGGACACTGAGACACTAGGAGATATGGGGACACTGGGAGACTAGGAAACACTGAGACACTAGGGACACTGGCACACTATGGACATTGAGAGAAACCAGGGACACTGGGAGATGTTGGGATACTGAGATACTAGGGACACTGGCTGGGAGACATGGGACACAGTGTCCCATGTCTCCCTGTGTCTTTCAGTGTCCCCATGTCTCTCAGTGTCCCATAGTGTCCCAGTGTCCCCATGTCACCAAGTGTCCCCTAGTGTTTGTATCCCCATGTCTCCCAGTGACCCTTAGAGTCTATATCCCCAAGTCTCAAAGTGTTTTGATGACACTAGGGGACACTTAGAGATATTAGGACACTGGGAGAGACTAGGGGACTCTAGGAGACTAGAGACACAGACACCAGGGACACTGAGAGACACCAAGGACACTGAGAGGCATGGGGACACGGAGACATGAGGGACACTGGCTGGGAGACATGGGGAAACTGAGAGACTAGGGGCCACTGGGAGACATGGGGCCACTGTGTCCTTAGTGTCTCAGGGTCCCCATGTTCCCCAGTGTCCCTATGTCTCCCAGTGTCCCAATGTCTCAGCATCCCCAAGTCTCTCACCATCCCCATGTCTCGCAGGCTCGGAGCTGCTGTCTGGACTCTCTGTGCATAGCTGCTCCCCCATGGATCATTGTGTAGAGAGAGGCAGGGAGGGAGATGGTGTAACTTCTTATCCCTGCCTCTCTCCACACAAACAGCCCCTACTGGCCGACGCTGGTATTGCAGAATAATCTCTGTTTATACTGAAACAACTATTTGTATTGCTGGTATTACTGGAAATACTTTTGAGAAATACCTTGCAACCATAAGAAATACATGAGAAATACCTGGCAAACCAAAGAGTAGTGTGTAAAAAAAAACAAAAAACATTTTTTATTTTATTTTTTTAAATCAGTGGGCCTATTTCATGGGCCTGGTCCTGGAGCTGCAGCTCCATCAGCCCCTATGTTAATCTGGCCCTGCCCACCACATTTTCATATGATTGAATTGCCTCCTAATAAGGGCAAATCCGGATACCCTTACCGCATCCAAATTCCATGACCTGGAATTGCCTCCTGGTAGGGGTATACCCGGACACCCCTTCCCCACCATGGTTCAAAGCCACCGCCCAGCTCGAACCCCCCAACTTAACCAACATTATAACTAGAGCTGAGCGAACCCGGACTGTAAAGTTGGGGTTCGTACCGAACATTAAGTTTTTTGGACCCTGGAATCAAACACGGACATATCACTGTATGTTCGGGTTGGAGTTCGGTGTTCGGCGATTTAATGACGCATTTTGAAAGGCTGCAGGGCAGCCAATCAACAAGCGTTTGACTCGTGTGCCCTTAGAAGCCATCACAGCCATGCCTACTACTAATGGCATGGCTGTGATTCGCCAGTGCAGCATGTGACCCAGCCTCTATATAAGCTGGTTACTTAGTATTATTACATTATTCCCCTACTCGCTATACCGCGAGTAGGGGCATGTGTATTAAACAGTGAGCAGCCTGTCTATTAAACAGTGAGCGGCCCCCTCCTAAGCCCCCTCCCACAACGCGCGAGTGGGGGCTTTTAAACAAAAGGGGGGACCTATTGCCCCCCCGGCCCCCACCCCTGAGCGGCGGGTGGGGGCACTAAATATCAATAAGGGGGGGACCTACTGTCCTCCCCCGGCCCCCACCCCTGTGTGGAGGGTGGGGGCCCTAAATAACAATAAGAAGGGGGACCTACTGTTCTCCCCCCCTGGCCCCCACCGCTGAGCGGTGGATGGGGGCCATAAATAAGAATTTGGGGGGGGACCTACTGTCCTCCCGCCCTGGCCCCCATCCCTGCGCGTCGGGTGGGGGCCCTAAATAACAATAACGGTGGGGGACCTACTGTCCTCCCCCCGGCCCCCACCCCTTAGCGGTGGGTGGGGGTCATAAATAAAAATTTTGGGGGGGGAACCTACTGTTCTTCCCCCCGGCCCCCACCCCAGAGTGGTGAGTGGGGGCCATAAATAAGAAATTGGGGGGACCTACTTTCCTCCCCCCTGGCCCCTGGCCCCCACCCCTGAGCGGTGGGTGGGGGCCATAAATAAAAATTGGGCGGGGGGACCTAATGTCCTCCCCCCGGACCCCACCCCTGAGCGGTGGGTGGGGGCCATAAATAAAAATTGGGCGGGGGGACCTAATTTCCTCCCCCCGGACCCCACCCCTGAGCGGCAGGTGGGGGTCCTAAATAAAAATTTACCCTCCCAGGTGATTAGGGGTCAAAAAAACCCTAGTCACCCCCCTCCCCCCAAAAAACTTACCCCTACTTCCCCCCCTCATCCTAAAAATAATGATTGGCTGGATTTCAAGCTAACCGATCAGAGTGCTGTGTTCCAAAGAACTTTCCCACACTGTGTAAAATGATACAGAGCACTCTGATTGATTAGCTTGAAATCCACCAATCAGAGTGCTCTGTGTCATTTTACACAGCGTGGGAAAGTTCTTTGGAATTTTCCCACGCTGTGTAATTTGACTCATAACACTCTGATTGGTTATTTAATCCACCAATCAGAGTGCTCTGTGTCATTTTACACAGTGCGGGAAAATTCCAAAGAACTTTCCCACGCTGTGTAAAATGATACAGAGCACTCTGATTGGTTAGCTTGAAATCCAGCCAATCAGAGTGCTCTGTGTCATTTTGCACAGCGTGGGAAAGTTCTTTGGAATTTTCCCACTTTGTGTAATTTGACTCATAACACTCTGATTGGTTACTTAATCCACCAATCAGAGTGTTCTGTGCCATTTAACACAGCGTGGGGAAATTCCAAAGAACTTTCCCACGTGGGTAAAATGACACAGAGCACTCTGATTGGATGGATTTCAAGCTAACCAATCAGAGTGCTCTGTGTCATTTTACACAGCGTGGGAAAATTCCAAAGAACTTTATAAGCCTTCCCCTGCCCTGCAGAGCTCAGTCTGCGCGGAGCCTTCCATGGGTGAAAATGGATTTATTTATTTTTTGCGCTCGTTTATTTTTGTTTTGTTTTTTAAAGTGCGTCGGTTATTCTGGATTTAAATTTTGACCTTTTTTAGGGCTGAAAAAAAAAGAGTTTAGAAGAAAGAAGACATCAAATGGTAAGTCTATTTTTTTTTTTTTACAGGTATTTAGATAAGGGTCCCCCCTCATTATTTTTAGGATGAGGGGGGTAGGTAGGGGTATTTTTTGGGGGGGGAGGGGGGTGACAATGGGTTTGGGGACCCCTAGTCACCTGGGGGGGTTAAATTTTTATTTAGGGCCCCCACCCGCCATTTAGGGGTGGGGGCCGGAGGGAGGACATTAGGTCCCCCCCTTATTGTTATTTAGGGTCCCCACCTGCCGCGCAGGAGTGGGGGCCGGGGGGAGGACAGTAAGTCCCCCCCCAAATTCTTATTTATGGCCCCCACCCACCACTCAGAGGTGGGGGTCAGGGGGTGGACAGTAGGTCCCCCCCTTATTGTTATTTAGGGGCCCCACCCGCCGCTCAGGGGTGGGGAACGGGGTGAGGACAGTAGGTCACCCCCTCCACATTCTTATTTAGGGCCCCCACCCGTCGCACAGGGGTGGGGGCAATATTTTTTTGTTTGTTTTTTTGTTTTACAGTGAGCAGCCACTGGCAGACACGCCCCTACTCGTGGTATAGCGATTAGGGGATGAATTTACTAATACTAAGTATACCATGGGAATTAGGGAGTTATCTACTAAGCGGCTGCTTATTTTATGTATTTTATGTTATTTTAAGTGATTTCCCTATCCACATTTGTTTGCAGGGCACTTGTCCTACTCTTCCCCCATTTTACTTCCTTTTGCAGCCCTCTAGCCTTTTCCAGGACTTTTTTAGAGCCATTTTGTGCCGAAAAAAAGTTCGGGGTCAAGTTCGAGCCTGATCCCGGACTTTTTTTCAAAGTTCGACCGAACCCGCCGGACCCGAACATCCAGGTGTCCGCTCAACTCTAATTATAACCAACATTATCACCAACATTGTCACCAACCAACTGGAACCACTCGGCCCACAACATCCTTAATTCCTCTGTTGTTCCCCCCGTGACTATTTATTCCTGAATATCCCCCTAACTACCCCACTGCTGTGACCAAGCGGGGACAAAACACAACCTAAGGGAGGGAGGGATCAGCTCCATACTGTTAGGGAAGTTAATGGTGACAGGAGCTAAAATGGCAGGCCTATTTATCTAGACCGCACCTCCAGTCAAACTGTCAGACACACCCACCCGGTTCTCCCCCTAAGTCCGCCTTCAACCCCTGTCAAGGCCCTATTCCACTTATGCTGCTCAAGTTCCATGGGGCTACAATTCTGTGCTAAAAAATGCATGCTGGCAACGGATGTAACTATCTTTTTCCTAAAGATAAAGGGAGACTACAGGTACCAGCCACTTCATCTCCCTGAAGTGGTCTGGGTGAATCACCCCTGTCTGCTTAACTTAGCAATGTAAAACATGCACTATATGCATGATAAATGGTCTAAACAAAGGCTTCTCTATAAGAAGCCTTTAATTGGGCCTTGTGATGATTACCATGGTGTCAAGCGGAAGGTGGAAAGCCTCGCCAGAAGCTTCGCCGGTGGTGTATTTCAGGTACGTTTTAGTTTTTTTGAACAGCCTTATATCAGCATTTATGGGAGGAATAAAGAAGTCTACTTCTTCCAGTGCAGGCTGCTTGGCTTCCAGCTCATTTAGTACTGTTGGGGGCTTAGCTGTGTACATACTCTGATAAGGAAGTCTTTTTCTGGAATGAGGGGGTGTGGCTAATGAAACAGGCTTATGGTTCAGCATTCTGCAATATATATAAATATATATTTGTTTAGCTGTGCACAAACTGAAAAGATTTGAGCATGCAAGCATGCAAACAAAATACAGAAAATATAGCATATTAACGAGGCCAAATCATATTAAATATCTTAAGGTTGTTTTAGGGCCTTGTGCGTGTCAATATAATTAGCATTGTTTTCATATGTTGACAGTTCTATATTTATATGAATCCATGTGAGAGAAAATTCTTGTAGTATTCCTAATGTTTTAATTAACGTTTTAATTACTTTGTGTCCTATTGAGCAATGATCACTATGCAGTTTACATGACTCAGCATACGTAAACTTCAATGTGATTTCGAAACGTACCTTGTTGGTCAACATGATTTAACCAGCTAATATTCTATAACAAGTGATAAAGCATATCGATAAAAAATAATAAAAAAAACTGTTGTAAATAACTTTGTATATTCTCTCTGTAAACTTTCCAGGTTCAGTGTGAAAAGGTACAGATTGAAAAGGGAAATCCCTATGTCCCACCTCAATTAAAATCTAAATTTGCATAAAATCACCTCTTATCTCTTGGTTAATGAAATTTAGGTTTGTGCATCATTACAAACGAGATGTATCTCATGGTAGAAGTATCACAGCTACGAGAACCTACAGATGTATGGGAATCTATAAGTGATAATATTTTTGGGTGTCTAACTAATCTGAGGTCCAAAACAACTGTTGCAAGTTCTACACACCTAGTAAATAGTCCAGGGTCCTTTCATCACAAACTTTTTTGACCAACAATATAACTATAATTTCCAATTTTTTTGGCTAGTTGGTTGGTAATAGTTTTTTTCTCTAACTGTCCTACACTTGGGCCAGTTCTTATGTCTTCCTCATAATATTTATTTTCTTGTCAAGAAGAGCACGGCTGGCAAGGAGCCTGGGGCAGTTGCCCCCTGGGGGACCGGTAAAAAAAATAATTATCGGCTGCTGCCTCACAGCACAGTACAAAAGTGGATTATGTAACTGTATTGTTTCATTATTGTAGTTTTTGTAGTATTAATATAAAATGTAATATAAAATTAAGAAAGTGAGTGAAATGTGTTGGGGCAATATACTGGCTTTGGTCAGATATTGGGCTGTTTGCATAACCCTTGAAATCCTCAAACCCAAAACAAATCTAAAAAAAAAAAAAAACACACAAAAAAATATTTTCTATGGTACCTTTGTACTCTCTCTTTCCTTTTCGTCTTTAATTTTATCCATACCCTCACACTTTCTTTCTGCTTATTCATCACACTCCTTGTTCATAAGGATTACAAAATATACAGTAACATCTCCAAGTGTCTGTCAAAAAGGCAGAAAAAATGCTAATTGTAACTAGACTTGGTACAAAATAACAAAAAAAGATCCTACGCTAAGGTTTAAAATATGCCTTTTGAAATACCCGGGGGTGTCTTCTTTAAGAAATGGTAGGCCATTGTGGGTTTTTTTATGAACAGTTAAACTGTTATAATACCCCAAATGGAAGCATAGGCTCATTAAATCCATCTCTCAAAATTGTACTGTAAATACTGAAATGGATAGGTCTCCTATATGGCACTGTAGCTTCACAAAATAGTGCCAAAGACATTCATATGGGGTGTCATTTTACTCAGAAGACTTAGCTGAGCATAATTTGGGGGGTTTGAACTTAGTGTCACATGTGAAATATACAAAATGCCCAGCAAAAATGCAATCCATATGTAAAAAAAACGCACAAAAATGTTTTTACCACATACTTTGGCATATATTGGTGAAAAAATGGGGGCATGTTAAGGCACAATATGCACCTTATGAGATACCCTGGAGTGTCTACTTTTACAAATGGTAGGCCTTTGTGGGTTTTTTTTTAACAGTCAAACTGTTATGATACCCCAAATGGATGCATAGGCTCATTAAATCCGTCTCTCAAAATTCTACTGTGAATACTGAAAAGGACAGGTCTCCTATATGGCACTGTAACTTCACGAAATAGTGCCAGAAACATACAATGGGGGTGTCATTTTAGTCAGCAAATGTAACTGAACACAAAATAAAACTTTGTACAAGAATAGCACACATCAACTTTACAAAATAAACATGAGAGTTTCTTTGTTATAAGTTTGTGTGCCAAAAACAAAAAAAAACACAATTGTACTCCAATATTTAGCAGAGGTTGGCGGTAATATGGCTACGTAGAAAGTGTCAAAACAACCTTAGGTAAATAGCCAGTGATGTCTACTTTATATAAATATATACTTTTGTGTGGCAATTTTGTTTTCTTTTATGGCTATTAAGCATAGGCGTGCGCAGCCTATTGCATTAGGGTGTGCACCCTAAAGCACAAACACACGCCGCGCGCGTGTGTGTGTGTGTGTGTGTGTGTGTATATATATATATATACATATATATATATATTCACAGACACACACACTCACAGACACACACTCACACTCACAGAAACACACACACACTCACAGACACACACATACTCACACACTCACAGACACACACACACACACTCACTGACACACACACTCACAGACACATACTCACACACTCACAGACACACACTGACACACACTCACAGACTCACACACACATACTCACACTCACAGACACACACTGACACACACACTGACACATACTCACACACTCACAGACACATACTCACACACTCACAGACACATACTCACACACTCACAGACACACACTGACACACTCACTGACACACACACTCACAGACACACACACTCACACACACTCACACACACTGACACACACTCACAGACACACACTGACACACACACACTCACACACACTGACACATACTCACACACTCACACACTTACAGACACACACTGACACACACTCACAGACACATACTCACACACTCACAGACACACACTGACACACACATACTCACACACTCTCAGACACATACTCACACACTCACAGACACACACACTCACACTCAGACACACACATACTCACACTCACAGACACACACTCACAGACACACACTCACACACACACACACACTCACTGACACACACACACACTGACACACTGACACATACTCACACACTCACAGACACACACAAATAATTATATTTTAATTTTTTTTTTTTAAATGTCCACCCAGCCTCCTACCTGGAGTGCTGGTGGACTTGTCCCTGGGGTCCAGTGGGGGCGGGCGCCTCTCTGCAGCTCAGCGCTCGGCGAGGGAGCTCTCTGCTCTCTGTTCTCTGCTTCCTCTCGCCGCGCGGGCTGTCTGCTCGAGCTGGGAGCCGGAATATGACGTCATATTCCGGCTCCCGGCATCAGCGCGCGGCGAGAGGAAGCAGAGAGCAGAGAGCTCCCTCGCCGCGGCTGAGCTGCAGGGTGGGGGGGAATCATCACCTCTTGCCCTCCCCATGACAGGGGCAAGAGGTGAAACAGGGGACACTGAGTGCCTGCAGGAACAGCGTTCCTGCTCAAAAAAAGTGCAGGAACGCTGTTCCTGCAGGACTCAAACCATAGGGGTGCGCACGGGGATTAGGGTGTGCCCAGGCACACCCGGCACACCCCGTGCGCACGCCTATGCTATTAAGCTTACAAGACAAACATACCAAATTCTAAAATCGCTCCACATTAAAGGTTTAGTTTACTCCTTGTGCTTTGTGACCTGTAACTACCAAAAAAAACTTAAAATCCCAGACACATTATATATTCTGTAAATCAGAACAACTGAATGAATTTATTTTTAATTACTTTCTTTAACCTGCACTAATTATGCACACATTATTATTGCAAAAACTGTAAAAAAAAACACATTTTTCATTTTGTTTGCATTTTTCTGTATTTTTTTTAATAATAAATAAGCATATATATATATATATATATATATATATATATGTGTGTGTTATATCAAATTAAAGCCCTTTCTGTCCTTTAAAAAACAGTATATAATATATGTCGGTGCAATAAATGAGAGGTGCAAATTGCTGTTGAACGCAAACAGCAAGAAAATGCAAAAATTGCTTCTGTCATTAAGCGTAAGTCAAGCTTCTGAAGCTGTGTCCTTAAGGGGTTAAAATGCCTGCAGTGACTGACTATACTCACCAGAACAACTACATTAGGATGTAGTTGTTCAGGTGACTGTAGCGTCTTTTTAAGGGGTGCACCCAAGGAAATTAATTTATAGAAAGCAAATATATATTGAATATGGAATTATAAGATTTATATTTTTATTTGTCAAACTCTACTAATAAAACATGTTTTAAAAAATGGCAAATATTTTCTCTAGCATTAACCAGATTTATTCATAAATAAATATAATTTATTTTAACTTTCTCTAGGTTATGAGTAACTGAAGTAAATAACTGAATTAAATTGCAGACAAGTTCTTAAATTGAGAACACAAGTGAGCCCTCACACAAACCTGTATACTGCACACTTTTCCTTTAAGACTATCAAGCGCCCCTCCAGTAAATGTCTAGTAAATACTTACTGCTTGTTGCAATTTATTTGTCATTTCAGAGTGACATTAGAGACTATGATTCCTTGTACAAAGCCTGCGAAGGAGTCGACTGCGTGTTCCATGTAGCTTCTATTGGAATGTCGGGAATTCATCAAGTGAGTGAATCTATAACCTTTTACTACATATAACCATATTGTCTGCAACAAATTTAAAATATGGTAATATTTAAAGGAACGGTATAGGGTCAAGAACACAAACATATATTCCTGACCCTGTAGGGCTGAAAACACTATCTAGCCCCCCTGACCCATGTTTTCCCCCTTAAATATAGTAAAATCTTACCTTTATTCCAGTCTGCTGGCACTGGATCTGCCTCTGATCTGCCTCCTTGGCTGACATCGTCAGAAGTGATTGAAGCAATGCATCTCTATGAGAAAAGTTTAGTGTCTCCATGCAGAGGGTGAAGACACTGAATGTCAGTCACACTGTGCAGCACTGCCCCAGGAAGCACCTCTAGCAGCCATCTGAGGAGTGGCCAGTTGAGTTATTCCTAGGCTGTAATGTAAACACTGCATTTTCTCTGAAATGACTGTGTTTACTACAAAAAGCCTGATGGGAATGATTATAGTCACCAGAACAAATATATTAAACTGTAATTGTTCTGGTGACTATAGTGTCCCTTTAAATATAAATTCATAGTGTAAAAAACACATTTAATTGTAAAAATTATTAAATTTGTCTATTTTACTGTTTTTCTCATGTATTTTTATTGAACATTTTAAGCTTAGTGCAGTATTTCTGTACTGTATGTGAGACAATGGGTTTCCAAAATTTTGTTACTTGTGCTTTTTCAGTGGAACTATTCAAAGATTTCAAGTGTTTTCCCTTTGTCTGTTTCCTTGCAACTGTCAGAACCAATCTAAGAGCATTATTTACTAAAGCAGGCGAGGCAACCATGGGCACTCCAGATGTTGTGAACTACATATCCCATAATGCTCTTTCAGAAAGCATGCTTGTGACGAACTGCTGGTACTCCGACTGAGTACCTCTGCCTCGCTTGCTGAGGACTCCGAACACTCCAACCGACACCATCAGCACTGCTGACCCCACTTCCAGCGATACAGCTGCGCTGGGGTCTCGCCGTCTCTGACCCACCCTGGATCCACGACCAGGATCCAGCTCCCAGTGGGTGAACCTCTCCTAAATCCAGAGAGCGTAGCAGGAACAAATCAAGCTCTCATAAGAGCTTGCTCTGGGGAGTAAGTGATATAGCAATCCCTAGAGTGTAGGTATCCCTTCCCCCAAGAATGAGCCAAGGCTTCAAGAAAGGTGCAAGTAGGTCTGGTTTATTGAGGGCTACCTGCCTGGTATTTATGCAAGTGTCCACCAGGTGGACACTCCCCTAGGGGACCTGATGGAACAATGGGACACATACTGGATATTAGCCAATCACAGACAATACAAACAAAACACTCAAACAGTGACATCACAATCCCTCCTTTCTATCCTGGAGATAATTGGGAAGTAATCAAATAATCTCCCAGGACAGAGGCAAGACTCCAGTAACCACATGGTTACAAAAAGACATAAAATTACACAATGTTACAATTACTATATAAAACATATACATGCAACATATCCCCGGATAGCTTAGATCTGAGCGCACATTATTACCGAATGGCGCTCAGATCACATACATATAGTTCAATCGCCATGGAGCCAAAGTTTTTTCCATAGTCTTTCGTTACATGAGTAGGCTCCATGGCATAGCTATCTGGGGTAGCACTACTCACATACTGAAAGTCCTGGCAGAAATACACAAATAAACCTTTCTGCAGGGTAAAATACAGCTATCAGCACAGGGGCCATAGTCGGAAGGCAGGAGGCTAGCCAGTAGTCCCCTCCAGGCACAAGTGGTGAAGGGCACTTCGTCACAATGATGGCAAAGCATCAGAGAAGTTTTCGACCCATGTACTAAATAGTGTGAATTATCATGAATTAAAACTGAATGCAAAGTGTTTTTTAGTTGGATAAAAAAAATAATTCAGTTTAGCTATATTGGCCTAAAATTTAAAATTCACTTTGAACTCAATGTGCCAATCCAGTACAATGTTCATTAACTTTTGATTTTGGAAGCTCTTAGCAAACAAATATGTGGTTAGCCCTAAATTGTGTGCTACGTTAATCAGCAATTTGTTTGGCAGAGTCATGATGAAAGGAATGGGCCGAATGAAAATAATTTCTCCTGCTTTGACAACAGAGCAAATTCTACCCATCTATGAAATATCATTTTTGGAGCCTTTAGTTGCCCCCTGGGGTGAATACATGGCCAGATTAACAGAGGGGCTAATAGAGCTGAAGCTCTGCCCACGCACATGGAATAGGCCCATTGATAAAAATAAATATTCATATATTTATTACTACCCTTAACATGTTCTTATTTGTGCAGAGGAAATTAAGTATGTGAACTTAGGAGGGATGCAGGAGGGACAAAACGTGTGGCCTGGCTGAGTATACATTAGTTAAAGGACCACTATAGTGCCAGGAAAACATACTAGTTTTCCTGGCACTATAGTGCCCTGAGGGTACCCTCACCCTCAGGGGCCCCCTCCCGCCCGGCTCTGGAAAGGGGAAAAGGGGTAAAACTTACCTTTTTCCAGTGCTGGGCGGGGAGCTCTCCTCCTCCGATCCTCCTCTTCTCCTCCTCCTGGGCTGAATGCGCACGCGCGGAAAGAGCTGCGCGCGCATTCAGCCAGTCACATAGAAAAGCATTCATAATGCTTTCCTATGGACGCTTGCGTGCTCTCACTGTGAAAATCACAGTGAGAAGCACGCAAGCGCCTCTAGTGGCTGTCAATAAGACAGCCACTAGAGGATTAGGGGGAAGGCTTAACCCATTCATAAACATAGCAGTTTCTCAGAAACTGCTATGTTTATGAAAAAATGGGTTAACCCTAGCTGGACCTGGCACCCAGACCACTTCATTAAGCTGAAGTGGTCTGGGTGCCTAGAATGGTCCTTTAAGGTAAAGCTGACTTTGCGCACTATGTCAATGTTTTTGCTGCTTCGGTCTCTCTAACACAGTGGCATGTCCCCTTTCTGCTACACTCACTGCATCCACGTTTTTGTCTGTCCCAGGCTGCAGACTTGGAGATTCTGCCTGCTAGTAAGAAGGGAGAGGAGTGGACAAGTGAGGAATCGGGGGCAGCAGGTATCTCTCCCCAGAGTGCACGCTCAACATTAGACATGGCTGGCTGGCCTACATTATTGGCAGGCAGCCTGGTATGCATTGATGTCAGACTCACATTCCAAATCTTTGGGCAGACCCCCTTTCCAGGCAATCAAGCCTTTTGGGCGGTGCTTCTGACATGATTCAAGTCAATGACCCACCTTCTTTTAGCCTGCTCAAAGAGAATTTTCAAAAGTGACCTTTAATTTGAAATTCGTTTATAAAAATAACCCTGTGAGTTTAGAGAATAAGAACTCAATGGAACATGTGTAGCCATAAACATCTGTGATAATGAACAGAACATAGCATGAATTTTAGCCGAACAAACAAATATTTTGGTGTCAAGATAACTATAGCATATATCCACACTTTCTTTCAGAAGCAATGGATTGAGTCAATAAACATTGGAGGAACAAAAGTCGTCATTGACGGTACGTATAATGTTTTATGTATGTATTGTGTATGTAAATATAACGTATATATTGAGTATGCGTATTTTGTTTAAGCATGTGCATATATATTGTGTATATGTGTATTATCCTCATTAAAGAATGTGTAGAGACTAGGTGTAGTCAACCTTCGGCACTCTAGATATTGTGGACTACATCCCCCATGATTCTTTGTCAGCATTGTGGCTGTAGGAACATTACAGGAGATGTAGTCCACAACTTCTGAAGTGACAAAGGTGCCCATATCCCTGGCGTAGAGTAACAAACTTTAGATGCGATGTTGTGGCATGCAATTTAATGCTATATCAAAATGAAAAGACATGGTTGATTAAATATATTTAGTGATCTCATATACCCAAATCTACAGCTCTCCACTGTCTATTTAAGAATCAAATTTATTTATATCCCGAAGTAAAAATTATTTGGAATTTTCTTAACAATTATGTACATTATGTAAGATTATGTAATCTGTCAAATCAGAGGCTGTATTAAAATCACACTCCAGTTATTATCATAATAATAAGAATTAGGATTTACTTCATTAAAATAATTGTATTAACTATGCAATGAGCATGGTAATTTACCTTGAAAATTATTATTATTAATTTTACTAGCATTTATAAAGTGTCAACATATTCTGCAGTGCTGTTGTATATTTGGGGGAGGGGAAGGGACAGTTCAGCGTACACAGACCAATACACAAAATAAAGAGGGCCCCCTTTGAAGCTCTTTTGTACAAACCGCCTTGTTAGATAGTCCATGTCCTTTGGTATGTAAATTCCTTAAACAGTCAATCAATAAATAAAGGTATAGCTTATAGAGTGAGCAATTAAAGGGATACTCTAACCTTCAACACAACTGTAACTTAAAGGACCACTATAGTGCCAGGAAACATACTCGTATTATTATACTATATGGGTTATATAAGCTCTATCTATACCCCCCTTAGTTGCAAGATCCATTTAATGGTTCATACAGACTGTTTATTTTTTGTGCAACTATTTGCAACATACTTTCTACATACAGTCCTCAATCAACGTTATAAATTGGCTTGGTCCTATCTTTTAACATTTGGTTTTTTTTTTTATTATTTATTATCACTACTATTCTTTGTGTGTTTTTCACCTAGTTAGTACACAGTTATATTTACTTTTTTTCCCTTTTGTTCCTTATGAGAGACTAATAAAGATTATATAGTTCTACTTTTTGCTCTTTACTCAGGCACTGTCCATTTACTCTACTTAGAGCAGTCTTTTCTTCAAGGATACCAGGCCTAATGGGGGGCTGGTTTATTCAATCAGCCACATTATAGTCCTTCTCTCTTCAGATGCCACATAACATCCCCACCAGAAGTCACCATCACTGGGAGCATAAGACTGACACTTCATGTAGGTCCCTGGTTAACTTTTATCTTTAAGTCATCCTGTGCCCATTATAGGTGTAGTGTTTGTATCGTAATGTTATTTTGGGGAGTGTTATTTGGGGGATATTGTGTTATCCCCTGTCTGGTTGTGGGGCCAATGCAGCACCACCTGTTGGTTACAATAATTATGTGCACTACCTGAATAGCAAGACTAGTAAATTTGCGTATCTGGTAGATTTGCATATTATGGTTTATGCAGGCAGTGGATGTATTTCTTGTCATTCTTTGTCTTCCCTACCCCTTTATAAATATTGTATTGTATTATTATGAGTGCCGGTATGATTCCGCATATGATTTTGTTATATGTATTGGATTGAGTGTGTCACCATAAGTTTAATGTAATGTGGATAAGGGCTAGTCCTGAGTAAAAAATAAAAATAAAGTATTGGGTGTTAGTTCCATTGGGAACGCTGTGTCCTGTTTTATATGTTCAGGGAATCCAGTAGTAAATTGGATCTGCTGCACTATTCTCTGGTCAAAGAGACGTATCAGTAAAGTACTAGGCCTCAGAGTAACAAATGAGATGTAAATGAGATGTTGGAAGCAAAGCAGGCAGAGGGGTTGATACCTGTCTGGGAGATGTAGCACGGGCAGAGGGGTCAATACCGGCCTGGGAGAAGATGGAAGGTGGATACCTGGAAGGACAATACTTTCCAGAGGCCTGCCCAGTTGGGGTAGCTGTAGCTGCTGGCTTCACCCCCCGGTCTCGGTAGCGTTCTTCATTGGCAGACCCACATTCCCAGTGGCAGTCGCACCTCCCTGCTGTCTGTCACCCGGGGCCCTAGCCACACCTCCACTGGCTGATACTCACACAGCTTTCCAACACACTTCCTGAAACAAAACCTGGAATTTGTGATTTAAGGGTTTCTCTTTAAGTGTCCAGATACATATTGTATGGTGAGGGATTTTAAAGGACAGAATTTGCTTTAATTTAATATCATATCTGTATGCCTAGCACAACATTAAATGTGAATAAAATGTTAAAAATGGGGGGAACGGGAGGAGACAGATACTTTTGTTCACATTTTTGTTTATAATCATTTTTATACATCCAATGCAACTAAATAAAAAAACTCCAAATAGAGTCATACATCAGTCCTGATTGTTAAATTCCTCATATGTCTAGGTTCTAAATTAATATCTGGTATTTATTACTAGCTCTATACCAACCACTCTCTAACGCTACACCAACCATATCCCTAATGCTATACCAAACATACCCCTTATCCTAACCTTATCCTAACTTTAACCATATGCCTAGCCTAACCTTACCTATACATTTAACCCTACATGTTCCCTAACACTAAAGAGTATAACCTAACCCAAACTCTACAGCTAACCCTACCATAACACTAACTCTGACCCTACCCTTACCCTAAATCTAACCCTAAGATTAGCACTAACCATAACCCAAAGGAAAACACCTGCTAATATCAGTTCTGATATGAGCAGATAGACTTTCTACTTAAGTTTTAAACATTTGTATTAGTATTTTTCAGGAGGTTGAACAGACTAATGAAAAATTATTTTAGCTAAGCAGATATAAAAAAGAACATGAACATGTCATGTTGTTAGTTTAGAATGGGATCATCAAACTTCTTGCACAGTAACAACCCACAATACAAGGACCGTGTATAATTCCATGAATAAACACAACATAGAGCAAAACTAATAGCCTGTAGTTAAAATAATAGGTCTAAAACCTTTTTATGCCATAGCCAACCATGCATTTTTCATAAGGCGGGTAGGGAGAGATCAAATAGACATTAGAGAAAACCCCTACAGAGATGTGAAGAGGAGAGGAGTGTCCTGGATTGGTAGTAACTGTGCGAGCAGGAACTGCAATCTGAATTTTAAATAATAGTGATTGAATTTTTATTCAGTACAATTTAATGCAGCTTGCCAATTCGTACATTGAAAAGTACTATGAAAAATGTGTTTCTTTTAAGGACCTAGGCCCTAGATCTTGAAAAGAAAAAAAATTCCATAGTACTTTTAATGGTTGCCAGATCTGAAAGAGACTCATTGTCAACCATTCTTTATGATTCTGAATTTCCAACTGATCCCTATGAAAAGTATGTTGTAATTTGGTACAAAATATGGTAGATTGGTGGAGAGGTACTCTGAATTCAATGGTGTAGGATAGTTATCCGGGCTACCGCAGCTATAACTAAAAGTAGTTTAGATATAGCAGATGGGCTGCTAGTGAATATTCCCAAGATCACCAGTTCCCCCAAAAGGAGAAATTAAATATGGTTTTCCTATTAAAAACAGTAGACTGTGGTATGTGACTGCCATCTACTGGCTGTTTTCATAATTACATTCAATGCTTACAGCCAAGCACTGATCACAGTTGGCTGAGGACAAGCAAGAAGACCATGTCTGGGTGGTCTCCATGAAGCAGACTGTAGCCCAGAAACACTGACTGAGTGTGATTACACAGCCGCAGTGTTCTGGTCGGAATTAAAAGGCTCTAGGCAACTCTAACGGAGATTCTGTACTCCGACCGAGTACCTCCACTCAGCCTTTTGGGCGGGAGCCTGGAATGCTTCAGCCCCAGTCGCCGAAGCTTGAGTGGGATCTCTCCGGAACTCTTACACCCGACCAGACTCTTCTTCTAGGCAGGTATCGTCCCCTCTGCCTATTTCTCTGCAGCTTTGCTTTCAGGTAGGTATCGTCTCCTCTGTCTATTCCTCTTCAGCTCTGCATATAGTGATTGCTCCTATCTTTACAAAGACACTTGCAGCTCTCAAGCCTATCAATCTTGATTTGTCCCTGGCCTAGAGGGATCGTGCAGCCAACCAACAGGTTCAAAGACTCAGTTACTGGGATCCCTAAAAATCCACACAGAACACGCAGTTCTAAAAGGAACTAACATGCTCAGCTTTATTTTTACTCAGGACTAGCCCATGTACTCATTACATATAGATTACTTTGACAACTCAGTAAAAATACAAACAACCATATCACATTAAAGAACATACAGGAACTTAACATAATGACATATTTATAAAGGGTTGGGAAGACAATAATTACCACAAAATATCTCTCCTGCCTGCAGAATAAGCAATATGCAAATCTACCTGAATATGCAAATTAACAAATCTTGCTATTCAGGTAGTGCATAGAGCTGGTGCTACCAACAGAGGGTGCTCTACAGGCTCCAAATCCACCTAGTTGGCAGCAAGCATTAGCAGGATAGGAGAGCGCACAAAACAACTGACAATACACAAATACATATACACCCCCTGAACCTATAATGGGCACAGAGTGACTTAGACATAGGAGTAGTCGAGGGTCCTACATAAAGTGTTCATCTGTAACTCATGGTGATGGTGACTACCGTTACATCTGCATACAGCTCATCGGCCTGTCTGGGGCCACTAAACATGGCCTCAGCTGACAGAGGAGAGCATCAGGTATCAATCGATACCTGGTACTCCGTCGTGTTAGCAGGAATTTAACCTTGTCAACACCAAAATATTCCATGCCATCCTTAAAGTCCACTCTGTGTAGGACAGCAAGGAATGCCCTACTGTCGGGAAGATGCTCATTTAGATTTTTTTTTATTAGCTTGCTAGAGCTTACAACAGCCTTGTGTGTGTGCCTAAAGCTCAATTAACATAGCAGAAGATAAGAATTTCTAGATAAGAACTTAGAACTTCTAAAATAAATGCACTGTGTTGTAAGATCTGATTAAAAATATAACCTTTTTTTATGGGGTATGTGTGAGTCGCAGCCAGGGGAGTTGTCCCTGGGGCTACATAAGCAGAACCAAAAGTGATTCAGCCATGTATGTGCACCAACAGTTATTCTCTATTGTCTTCCATTCTTCTTTGCAGGGACTTAAGCAGGGAAGACCATAGAGACTAACTGTCTTTAAACACTGTCCAACCAAAGGTGCATGTGTCTAGCGAAGGGTGCATAATTCATTGTTGCACAATAGAATATTAATGTAATTTGTGTTGTGCATGTATGAATTGACCATTTGGTAAGGATCAGATGACAGAAGGGGTAGTGTGAATTGCATAGGAATGTGAAAGGGAACAGATGGTTTACCATATGCATTGATCCTTTGAATAATCAATAGTTCTGTAAGGTGTGAGAAGTCACACAAAAGTGGCCTGGAAGTCTAGCTCCAATGTAAACTAGCTAACTTCAGCCATATGGCATCTACCTTTTAATTGATGAATGAGTGGATTTCTTTGATATGTTAATGATCATTAGCTCTCAAGAAAAGAGAAAAAAAACAAGCCTTGTTTTCCAGTATCATATCTAAAAGAAAGAAACAATAATATTTACCCACAGAATAATAATTGAACCTCATTTTTGTAATATTTGGAATGTGACCAGCACAATTTTCTAATCAAGCCCGAGTTGCGTAACTTAACCATAGGGGAAGGGATTGTGATGTTCGCTATATTGGGTCACAAGTAAGAAGTGTAACATATCTATGGAATGGAGAAATGGTAACCAATTCATAGATGCAATTATTATTTCTGTGGCATAGAGGAGATAGAACCAAATGTTTCCATTTGGATTGATGTTGGTCTGGAACACAAGGGGGTGGTCAATTATAGTTACTATAGGTATACCTTAACTATATCCCTAAGTGACCATTGATAATCCACAGGGTATATCTCTAATGATACTGAAGTGTGCATTGTACTTGCTTGAGGCCATCTGAAGGGCTACAAGCAGAAAGGGGACACCCGGGCAAACTACTCGCTACCTGACTCACCTTTATCACCGCCCAGGAACCGGGAATAATCCACTGAGGCCTACCGAGGCAGCCGCTTTCCTCGCTCGCAAACTTGCACAGGGACCCCTCAGCTCTCCTATCTCCTACCCCCCCCACCCCTTTGGACCGGTGGGGGATATCCCAGTCTACACTGGGTGTTTGGAGCAACCTACTCGGGGTGAGTTTTCAGCCTCGAACACCACACACGTGGCAAAGCCCTCTCACGGCGCACTCAAGATGGCGGCTGCTGACTCACCTTATACTCACAGCCTACTTCCAAGCCAAAGGACTCAACAAGGTGCTGTCACTGACTCCCTGCAGCACTTAAAGGCAATATTTATCTGGAAGCGTGTACAGGCTGCCAGGACCAAGCCACCAGACAAGCCAGTCATGGGTAGGCAAGGCCGCACGCAGCGTGGGGCGAAGTGGTCAGCCCCGGGCACAGCACCCATTTATCCAACCATCCTCACTCTTCATAGCCCACCCGGGCTGAAGGCCACAATAGCTGGGACCCAGAAGCATCACCCACACCTGCGGAGGCGCCAGCGCTGTAAGCACAAGCAGACCACCAGGCCTTCCAGAACTCCCACAAGTGGAGGAAACTCGGACTCTGGAAGTCACTGAGATTGTGGCATCGAGATGCAGGCATCTACACCAGCCTGGGGCTGGAGGGATACCCTCACCTGCACCCATGTAGCAGCAGCCCTCCGAGATCCACGAGCGGGCTCCAATTGTTTCCCAGCAGAGGGAGTCAGTTGACAGAGACAGTCACACGCATACTATCCCGTGTCTCCAGTGCTCTCTTCACCATACCCATGTGCACCTTACACAGATATGTGGACTCACTTACTCATGACAGCTACACTCATGACAGCTACACTTGAGGCTTTTCCTAGCACTCCAGACTGTTTAGCGTAGTCTGATATGGTTCGATGTTTGTGATTTTCTGTTTACCCCCACACGATAGACACACTCTCATGCACACATATGGAATTATGTGTCTCGTCCAACCTAACTGCCTAAATAATGTTCTTGGCCTGTACTCAGCATGTTTGCCCAAACAATCTCTAATTTTAGTAAACAGGGCCACATAATCTATTGTATCCTGCAGTCTAAAATGTGTGATCTCGTTCAATGTCCTGCTACTGATACCAGCATGTTTTCATATATTAACCCTTTCTTGACAACAATCATCTTTATTATCGTGTTATAGTATTTACAAAATTGTGCAAATGTATCTGATACCATGCCACTGTTTATTCTAACTGCCACTACTGTCTTGGTATCGCAGGCATGATTGTTATTACGTGCACTACAAAAATAAATAATTTAGAAAAATTTAAAAAATATATATATTTATATTATTATGCTTAAGTGTGAAAGGTGTTAAGGGGGATTTTATCCTTATTTCTAGTCTAGTGCAGAAAAATAGTGAACTTTAACCCTTTCACCAGCACAACTACGTCACGCACACTCTTGAAGTAGGATGCGTTCGTGACAAATTGGTGTTAGAAGTGGGATAACTAAAAGCTTTTTTCATCTTTTTGCACCAGATTTTAGTGTTGCTGGATTTGTTCGTTAACCCCTTAAGGACACATGATGGAAATATTCCGTCATGATTCCCTTTCATTCCAAAAGTTGTGTCCTTAAGGGTTTAATCCACACACTAAAAGAAATTGTGTCTCAATTTCCAAAGGCTGAGGTTGATATATATATATTTTACACCTCAACAGCCCCACCCTCCTCACTGTTTTTTCTTTGCTATCTTTTATTTACTAAAAGGAGTACCAGGCACAGTACAAGGCAGTGCTAGACCAGCTTTGCCGGGAGAGATCTATTTCCTATCGGTGAAAAACAAAAGAGGAACTATTACAAGCATTGGTGGACTATGATATACAACAGGCAGTGCAAAGTGATGCCTCAAACACTGCAGAGGAGATACCTGCAGCTTTTATCCGTGATGTGCCGAGATCCGCAGATCCCTTGGATTCTTACTTGCAAACTGTGTTTAAATATGTGGACTCAGCAGACTCAAACCAAATACTTCAACGTATCATTAAGTATCAGGAGGCGGAGAGAGAGAGCCTGCTGAGCGCCAAGCCAAGAGGGAGGCTGCTGAGCACCAATCTGAGAGGGAGCACCAAGCTGAGTTCCAGGCTGAGAGAGAAGCTACGGAGCTCCAACCTGCCAGAGAGCATGAGCTAAAAATGGCCAAGTTGGAGAGGTTGACTGCCTCCCCTATAAGTACTAATTCATTAGACTCTTCTGCACCCAGACCACGTCCAACTTTGGTTAAAGATGGTTTTCTGGATATTTTCCTGCAAAGTTTTGAAAAGGTTTGCAGGCAGTACCAGCTACCAAAGGACCCGTGGGCAAAGTACCTCACCCCTGGTCTCAGAGGTCCTGCACTGGAAGCATTTGCTGAGCTTCCAGCAGAGTCTGACCAGGACTATGATACGATTAAGGCTGCCTTGCAGAGATGGTACAACGTTACTCCTGAGGTGTACCAAAAGAAATTCAGGACTTTTCAGAAGCATTCCACAGAAAGTTATGCAGCAGTTGTAGAACACCTGGCAACAGCATTCCGGCAGTGGACTCGAGTGCTGGAGATCAAAAGCCTGGCTAAATGATCTTGTAAGGATAAGTTTTTTTACTTTCCTTATTTTATATACTTCATTTAAAAAATTCTATTTGCTTTTGAAACTTGACAAAAGGATTACTATGTTAAATTTATTTTTTTAGGTGACAGTTGTCTTTTAACTCCTAAATGGCAGACAATTAAGCAGTGATATTGCTGGGGCATGATCTATACACCAGAATGCTTTATTATGCTAAAGTTGCTTTTGTGCGTAGAATATCTCTTTAAGAAAATGGACAAGAAATGGGCAAATGTGATTAAAAAGAAATGGTCAATTTGGATAGGGCTAATGTTTAACCCTGCCCATTGTTCTCTCAAAACAGCTCTTAAAATGTGGAGCATTAGGCAACTGACTTTTGGCTACTAGGGAAATAAGTCCTGGCCACGATATAGGCTGAAGAGGGATCTGTATGTTCAGTTATATAGAAAAATGTATTCCCAAAATGTAACTATATAAACACCAACTGCATTCTGTTTAACAATAGCTTCCATTTTATATACCATGCTTTTTAGAGTAGGTAAATAAAAAATATATGATCATATAGAGCAAGCTCTAATGTCGGGTTTCTTTCTCCTGCTGCTATACAATGATGCCCTGTTTCTGTTATTAGTGGGCTGGTCTAAGACCGAGATAGGTTTTAAGGGTAGGGGGAAGGGTTTGGAAAAAAAAAAAAACTCCCCTAGATAAGAGGCTTGCCTAGCAATGCAATATGACCAAGTTTATAGTAAGTTTATAAACATGTATAACATTATTTTCAAAGTTTTTCTTCCTATATTTTTTACTGGTTCTTGTTTAAGTCCCCTGGTGCTATCTTTTCTGATTGTTCTTCCTGGTATTTCATGTCCCTTTTAATGTATGTTTTGATTTTTGCAGTATGTATTCAGAGAAGTATACCCAGCTTAATTTACACTAGTTCTGTTAATGTGGCTTTTTCTGGCAACTGTATAGTGGATGGTGATGAGGAAACTGTGCCTTATATACCGCTGGATAAGGTAATCATCATTTAAAATAAACTGTCCTAAATAAAATGGTCTTATTTTATGAAATAAATGTTTTCCTAAAATTCTATTGACGAAATGTCCTGCCTAGTAAATGCTGTTGAAACAAACATTTCCAGCATAACAACTTCATCAAAATTGGGTTGTTATGATGCCAGGAGGTCCCTGGCACTGATTCACCTTTAGGAGTTAAATCATTTTCGAACAGTTTAACTCCAAAGTCTGTTTTCCAGCGCTGAATCTCACTGCCTCTACATCCATCCATTTTCTCAAAATCTTTAAACCAGAAGACTTCTGCAGAATGGGGCAGCGGCACCACTGGCTGGCTGAGATCGGTCATCTGACACTCTCAGCCAATCATTGACTTCCGATTCATAAAACTGGTTTTAAAAAGGCACATTTCTTTTCATGCCAGTTTTATGAATGGTGAGTCACTGACTGGCTGAGAGTGTCAGTTGACCGATCTCAGCCAGCCAGTCAGAGGCACGCTGCCTGGAACACAAATTTTGTGGTTAAAGTGTTCCAGAATGGTTCAAGAACGGTTTAACCCCTAAGGGTAAGCCAGTGCCATGGACCTCCTGGCACCATAACAACTTCATGTTGATGAAGTTGTTATGGTGCCCACACTGGTCCCTTAATAAATAGGGTCCTCCATGTGTTCTTAAAGATAACTTATTATTTCAGGATGTTATTATTGAAATTATTATATAATTATATTAGGAATTTTGATACACAGTAATCCTAACTCCAAAGTTTGTTTTCCTTACACGGTGACAGGCAGAATACGCTACAGCACACCATTTTCTCAAAAAAACGCTTGAGCTTTGTCAACCTAGTGCCTACCTTCCCTCCGCACAGACAAAAGCGCTTTACCAGATCAATGCAACCTAATGGGATCACGCCAATGATTGACTTCCGCATACTCATACTAAACCTGTCCTGGTTTTAATTCAAATGGTGTACTGCATCGTATTCTACGCTTTTCATGCCAGTTTTAAGAATCAGGAACATGTGAGAGTGGCCACTGGACTAACATCTGCTCTTCTGAAATTTCCACAGCGTCAAGCTTGACCTTGGATCACAGCCCAGCCAGCCATTAAACTATGGCACGCTGTAACTGCAGAACTATAGTCCCAGTACAACTTAGTTCTGGTGAGTTATGTTTTCTGAAGATGCTGACAGGGGAATGGTTTCAAAGATTGTGTGGTATTCAGCCAAGCAGGCACATCACAGACTGCAATAAAAGTAATATTTTACATTAAGGGGGCAACCATTGGCACCTGCCTCCTATAGTCCTAGGATATAACAATTCTGCAATCCACACTTGAGTAATGATGTTTGAATTTTGAATGTTACTAAATGATTCTCATCTCTCCATTAAAGCTGGACTGTTAGCCAATGGATTTACTAAATTTGTATTTGATATACCATGGCATTGTTCGGATCTGTTTCAGATATTTCATGGTAGAGCTGGCCCCTGTTGGAAAGCATGAAAGCTGGGTTTGACAATTATTTAAAAAATTTAGGTGGGTGCTCCCCCTTTCTCCCTTAAAAAATTGGAAAATTTAAGGAAGCAGATCGGAGGCGGGGCCAGGCCCGCCCCCATTCAGTCTCCTTTCTAACATCATCAGAATTAAATGATTTCCCATAGGGAAAGATTGGATTGTCTGAAATTGGCAAGGGGCCGCGGCAGGACCAAACACAGGCTTGGCCATTAAGTATATCTTCATAGAAATGCATTGATTTACACTTTCACTTTTTCCCTTTTTTGTCCACAACTCTCCCTCTTTACATCCTTCCCTTTCAATACATTCCTCCTTTCTTCATACGTTTCTGCTTTCCACTCCTCACATTTCATTCCTCACACGCACACACCTACTACTCTTTCTAGTTTCGGACGGTTCTCTACTTCTTCGGTCTATTACTTCTTATAGATCTACAGGGCTCATTTGCTCATCTTCATACCCTTTATGTATATACTTTATCCTCCTGTTGTTGTTCTTATAACCTTTTAGTGTATATAACACACTATACACCTATTACACTTTTGAACCGCGTCACTATGGTTACCAGACGCGATCACGGCCACATAGAGGCACGTACATCCATCATTATGCACAAATCCTTCATGCATGCACGGTCTACACGTCTGAGCACGGATCAAGGGGGTACACTTGCACTCTGTAAGTGATTACCTTTCCTATGCTTTATGCCTTATATAAACACTCTGTTTATGTGTATGCACATCTTGATGAAGACCTTTTGGGTCGAAACGTTTATCGCTTCATACAACACAAATTTATTTTTGAAAATCCTTTGAGTGCTCTCTTCATTCATTTTCCTATATTTCCACGCTGTGCAGCACTGAGGTCTATTCAATGATGCTACTTAAAGGTAGAGTGCCAGATCCTCTTGTTTATATATATATATATATATATATATATATATATATTCTCAGATGCTAGCACTCCTCCCAGACTTTACAAAAAAAAATTATACTACCGTGCCTACCTAGGTGCAATGGCCGCGTATATATTCAGAAAAAACAGTAATAGGGAGCACTCAGGTCTAAAATCGTGTAGAAAAGTTATTAATCGTTCGACCCGGATCTTGATAAAGACTCAAATGTCGAAATGTTGATTTACATTTTGCACAGTACTTGATAGAAATACAATAAATAATTTCTACATGAATTTTAGACTGGAGTGCTCCCTATTACTGTTTTTTCTATTTATGTAGGACTGGGCCTGTAGTTGTAGGAGGGGCTTGGTTTCCCTTCTTAAGGGACGCCAACTGCTCCCTATTATCGTTTTCAGTATGACGATTTGCATACCGTGACTTCCGGTCTGTGCAAATCACCATTTTATTACCTTCAACTAGTGGGAATGCTTACCTGGTCCTCCAGCCCCTGGTCGTCCCTTTCGCTGTCTTCCAACTCTCCAGAACCTCAACAGGACTCCCATACCTGCTCCATTCACTTCGTGATTGAATCGTAAAAACAGTTTGAGTCGAGCCGCCTGTCGCACCTCAGTCGTGGCGCTCAGCGTCATTCCGGGATGGCTCTATGCTTTAATTTCCTTTCGCATACATCTGTTCATTTTTCTGTTTTCTCGCAGCTATGCGAATGATTAGGCTATAGTACGGTCTTTCAGCTACTTCCACCGTTCTGTTCGTTATAGCACTTGTTAGGAAGCCACAACAGGCACGGGAGGCTCCGTCGAATACAAGTTGTCTAATTTTGTATTTCTCGTAAATTACAGTATCTCCTTGATTGGAAAGGGTACGGTCCCGAGGAGCGATCGTGGGTCAATGCATCAGATGTTCACGCCCGTCGCCTGGTTCGTCTGTTTGAGAGGCGGCGCTCTTGTGGGTTCGGTTCCACCCGCCCTGGGGCGGTTCTCGAGGGGGGGGTACTGTAACAAGCGCTTACCTTTCCCCGCCGATCCTGCGCAGCGCCGGGTCCTCCTCCTATCCTTCCGGGGGGCGGCTCAGCCTTTCTGACGCCGGCCGCTCGGATCACGCCCACATTTATGACGCGGCGCATGCGCGCTGACGTCAGACTAAAAATGGCGCCAAAATTCAAACGTGGCCACGCTCCCGGACTTTTTGGGGGCGTGGCTACAAAATTAAAGCCAAAGAACCCACACTATAAAAGGGCTATCATGACACCAGGGCCGGTGCAAGGATTTTTGCCGCCCTAGGCAAAAGAAAGATTTGCCGCCCCAGGGCCTAAATGCCTTATATGATCTGCCATATGAACTAGTGCCAGTGCTGCACACAGTGTGTGTTTACATTAAAAAGCCTGCAGGGACAAACTATAGAAACCAGAACAACTTTATTAAGCTGCAGTGGTTCTGGGGACTATAGTGTCCATTTATTGTGAGGTAGATTAGTGTCACTAATAATATACTAGATTGCCTACTTACAATCAGATGAGGATGATGATGGGCTGTGGCTGCAGTCTGGCTCCACTGGTCTGGTGTAGAACAGGATCTCTGGAGGCTGTTTGTAACTGTGGTCACAAAATTTAATGTTCTGGGAGAACGGGAAGCAGCTCAATTTTGTGGGGCCTCTTACATAGCTCAAGGTCTGGGCCCCAGGGTCCACCTACATGAGTCCGCTCACAGGGAGTAGAGTGTGTAGGGGATGTGTTATGTGTTACTGTAGAGGATCTAATGTGTGTGCTTATGGAGTGTAGTGTATAGGGATACCAGTTTGTGTAGGTGATCCAGTGTGTTTGTGTGTAAGGGATAGAAAGCAGTGAGTGTTTGTGTATACGGGATGTATTGTGTGTTTGTCTGTAAGGGGTGCGTTGAGTGTGTGTAAGAGATGCATTGTGTTTCTGTGTGTGTGTAAGAGAAGCAGTGTGTGTTTGCATATGTGTGTAAGGGATGCATTGTGTGTTTCTGTGTATGTGTGCAAAGGATGCATTGTCTTTGTGTCTAAGGGTTGCATTGTGTGTTTCTCTGTGTGTAAGGGAAGCATGTTGTGTTTCTGTGTGTATAGGGATGCATTGTGTGTGTGTGTGTGCGCGCGTGGTGTGAAAGAGCTCCCTGTCCTGCCCCTGTCCTATAGAGCTCTCCCTTCCATTCCTTAGAGATCTCCCCTGCCCCTTAGTGGTCTCTCCTCTCCCCCCCACCTCCCTTAGTGGTCTCCTTTTCTCCCCGACTTTCCATTAGTGGTCTCTCCTCTCCCCCCACCCTCCCCTAGTGGTCTATCCTCCACCCCCCTCCTTTAGCGGTCTCTCCACCGCCCCCTCCCTCCTTTAGTGGTCTCTCCCTCCCCTACGTTCTCATCTCCCACCCCCCGTGTTCTCCTCTTATTCCCCCCTCCCCGTGTTCTCCTCTTCTTCTCCTCTGTAATCTTCTCTTCTTCTCCCTCCTCCCTGTAACCTTCTCCACTCCCCCTCCCTCCCTGTAATCTTCTCCCCCCCCTATAATCTTCTCCCCCCTCCCCTATAACCTTCTCCACTCCCCCCTCCCTCCCTGTAATGTTCTCCCCCCTCTTATAATCTCCAGTTTTCATTAATCTCGGAATGTTCGGCTATATACGAAAGTTAGCCCACCACAAGGGTCATTTGTATTTTTATAACTGAACGCCCTATTTTAGTAGTAGGTTTCACACGATTTCATACAAATTGTTTTACTTCACTGTTTCAGTTAAAATACTGTATGTTTTAAATGTCGGCCTCTAGTGGTCAGTTTTGATATTGCACAGGAGTTTAAACATGCAGTAATTACCTGACTTCAATTAATGTCGACCTTTAGTGGTCAATTTTGATATTGCAGAGGCTATATTTGAAATTTGATATTTTAAAGTGATCAATTCAGGTCAAACAAGCGCTTGCTTGTTAATTATTTTTCTCAAGTCTTATCAGTATATGCTGACGTTACGCATGTTTCTCTTTGGAGGGGACTCAATTGAGTAATTAAGGTTAATTGCTAGTTGTTATAGGTCAAACCATAGAGAGGTTATCTACCTTCTAATTTAAGTTACATTAAAGCCATTGATCTTTCGGGTACGACTCTAAAGCTTTGTTTTCCAGAAGCAATAAGGTGGGTGTGGCAGAAATGCCTCTGCCACGAGTTCTTGGAGGCGCCTGCTTTCCAGCCTCCTGCCAAAAGGCCCTTTAAAAACTTATGTGATTTCTGTACTTTTGTACTCCCTAATTCCCTGGAACTGTTTTGGGCATAGGACCATGTGCATGGTCGGTCAAAATTATGACTTCCATGGAAATCCCGAACCCCTGAACTGATCTGGGTGATTTTTGGATATGTTGGTCCCCCAGATCGGGGCTTTTGTGGGGTTTACATGTGTTTTAGGGGTACTTTTGGGGTGTTGTTGTATTGCATGTTTTTCTGTGCTTGGAGATAATTGGATTAGATTAGTACAGTTCCTGATACAATTATCTCCCAGGCACAGAGGAGGGATTATCTTATTATGTATGGGAGTGTCCTGGGTCTAAGAGCCAATGTAATTGTGTATTTGTTTCTACTGTGGTTTACTCTCAGGTCCAGGGGGAGTGCCCCTTGCATGGGGACCTGCATATAAGGCCAGTTGTGGCTACCATTAAACGAGTTCCTGCTTACCCTCAACGTAGAGTCTCATCTCATGTTTGTAAGGAACCGCTATACCAGCTATAATTACCATCTCTCGTAAGAGCTACACTGCTATACTCTCTTGGAGGAGAGGCCTTCCCACTGGGAGCTGAATCCATGAGTTTGGAACAGGGTGGGAAGGGATGGCAAGACCCCAGCCAAGCTGCGGCTGCTATGGGGCTATGGTGTCCGATGCAGTGCTTATGGTACTAGGTGACAGCTTGGAAGCAGCGATTGGCGGAGGCACCCAGTCGGGGTTCCAGGCGGTACGTCACATCGGTGGGTTGATATGTGTATATATTATATTCATATCATAGCGATCAGATGCAGTATTACAGGTATTATATCTGTCTCAGATCCACAGAGCACTCCGAATTGGAGCTCCATCACTGCTACTATTCACAATTCACTGTGCATTTTAGTGGTTACAGTTATTCCAGCCCAAATATGGCCCTCATTAGTTTGTCTAATCCTTAACGTTTATTTTCTACATGTAATCTTACGGAATGTTTATATTTGTTTCGGTTAATACTGAGTGTTAAATATCGGCCTATATCGGTCAATATTAATATTGCACATGTCAATATTTTAAGTTAGTCTTATGTTTTATTATAGATAGTATTTAATTTAGGTAAAGCAAATGTATTGCTTGTTCATCGTTTTTCATGCTTTGTCAGTAGATGCTGACGATACACTGGTTCGCTCCAATAAACACTATTTGGTTTTCACTCAACTCAACGCCTCTAAATGCTCACCCGGTGCATTCCTATACTCATGTCACTAAGGCTCGATTCCTTAACCTATGACCAACATCAACACTGTATAACCTGCACCTATGCTACTATTATTCCATTGACTACGATTTCTTGTATCTGTTTCTATATTCAAGGGAGACCAGGTCTTTGATACTTAACTGGGGATTAGATGTTATCATTAGTTCTGTATAGTAAGTTACCTTAATTAATGCCTTGGTGTATAATTATTAAACTAAGTTTAGGATCCTTATCCTAATTCACCTGTTATGGTGGCTTCCCTCAGTTCTACTCAAGTGTAGTATACTCGCTTGACTATATTACCACGTGTATGTCCCTTAACAGCACTACTGTTTTATCTTAAGTCTGTTGTTCGTCTCTCAGGATGTCCCGGGCAGGGCAACGCACATACTTCTCACATAATAATTTATATCTTTAGGTTCATTATTAGGACTGCTGCTTTCACTCGTATCTGGTTTTTCTTCCATAGGGGTCACAGGTTAGAGGATATTCGTATCAAGGGCATTACTGATAACATGGTTATTACAGGTTATGGAGTACTCAGCATTTTAGGGCAACATTACTCATCATACCCCTTATACTACATTCATTAGGTAGGTTTTATAGATTATTCTGTTGGATCCAGGAGCTGGCCTTATATCTCACTCAAGTACGATACATCATTGTATCTTTAGGTGCTAGGTATCTACAATTTACTGCACAACCTCCTACTTAGAGCTGAACGTTACATCGCCACATATCCTGTTGGCTAGAACAGGATATCTACTTTTACATAAGATACCACAATTCCTACTATATCTCGTTAACCCTGTAGGTCTGCGCCAATCCACCTTCTGTGTCATACCGCATTTCTGACTACTCGTTCTCAGATATGTCAAATTACACATACTAATTCAAAACCTTACCCTGCCTCCCTTAGTTTGTTTCATTACTGGCTGGCAGGGCACCAGGAGCCCGATAGCTTATACTTTCTCAGGCCTCTATGTCTTACGTTAGTGGTCCCGCGAGGCCAACATCGATCCTCATACTCGGAGGTATTACACCCATCAGCCCAACTCATAGTTAGTCACCTAGCATGGTGGCATAGAGAGGGCCTCACCTGTCATGCCCATTCTATCTTATGCTTTAAAAGTCACAGAGAGGGCGACACCCCGCCACAAGTTCGGTGGCCACGTAATCCCCTCACGCCAACGCATAGATAGAGCCTCTCAAACCGCTTGGCATCTAGTAGGGCCTCACCCATCACCAACTTGTTTAATGGTTTCGCCACTTGGCAATAGCTAGTATACCAGTATGTCGTAAGGGTACACACAACTACTTCAAGCTGTTTAACACATGCGACAGGAAGGTGGAGGATCCTGTCCCTGCCCTGCACTCCTACTAGGTCTGATACATCACACAAGGGACATGGCTAGTCCTACTTCTATAAGATCTTGGACTATACCTCGCATCACAGCAGGACTTTTGAATGGCACATAAGGTATCAGCACAGCTATATAAACCAATTCTCAAATCACATACAGACATATTTTTCACATATATAGGTACCACTAACCAGGCTTTTAGTAGGGAAACAACGGCTTAGTATTAGAACGGTGTCTAGTATTGGAAACCTACCCTGTTGTATAATTATATCGAGCAGATTTAATTACATCGGACATAACTATGTGGAGCCTGTAGAATTAAATGTGTGTAAGTTACGTGGCTGGTATTGTTAGGTATTGGTAAGCTCCTTCTGTCCAATTATACTGGATTAGAACATCATGTGATGAACTATATTAGGTACAAACAGTAGTTCTGATTATCAGTAACAGGTATGGGTCCATATTTGCAAATACCTGTCAGGTAGAGTCCGTTGGTTAGATACAGTAGGAATATATATTTATGTTGCCCCTTCCACATCAGTGCTGACAACCATACCTCCAGGAACATTTGGTACAAAAATAATGGGACGTTGAGACTATGAAGGCCTAAGCTTACTCCAGATATATACATCAACCTGTTCTTAAATACGCCAAGTCTTCCATAACATTTATATATGTAATATATTGTAATATGCTTGATTTGTAGGCTGTATAATTCGGTATGGTATACTCTTTTTGCCCTCTTTTATTACAGGCCCACCGCATAGTTGGTTCCGGCATACCACAACCTTACTATAGGTCTCATATAGGGACCTTACATATCTACTTCTAATTACGGCTGCTTTTATAACAGGCCCACCGCATCGTCAGTTCCGGCACACCACAACCGACTTTTTCATATTAAAATAGGTCTAATATAGGGACCTTACATATCTACTTCTAATATCCTCTAATTACGGCTTTTGCCCCGACCACAAATAAATAAATATATATATATATATACACACACACACACATATTATATAAGTATATATATATATATATATATATATATATATATATATATAAAAGAAGATGAGTGCACTCTGGAGACTGTAGTAGTAAAGTAGAAATGCTTTTAGCACAAATAAACATCAACGTTTCAGTCCTCCTGGACTTCTCTCAAGAACAGGAGGACTGAAACGATGATGTTTATTTGTGCTAAATAACAGCATTTCTACTTTACTACTACAGTCTCCAGAGAGCACTCATTTTCTTTCCTATACTATGGCTGGAGTTGGCACCGGAGCATCATTAAAGACCAGGAATTAGAGTGTTGGGATCGTGGAAATATATATAAATATATAAATTATATTAAAAAAATTTTTTAATTATTTATTTTTACATATATATATATATACATACATATAATACACAAGATCCAGCGCACTCACCTATCCACTAAACAGCAACTTCAATGTTGAAAGATTTTATTTGTTTTTTAAAAACACCTAATCTAGGCAAAAATAATGGGGGTTTAGTTACATTATATGATCATACATTGCATAAGCCTGCCACAACGTCAATGTACCCCATCTTTGGCAGGTCCTACACTAACAGCCTAATGTCTGCTCTTATGAGATTAACCTACTTGGGGAAAAAAATTCCATCTGGGGCTCTCTGCAGTACAAGGCTAAATAGGGCCCTGGGATGAGGCACCTGTGACAGGGAGGGGTGCAAAACCAAGGAGTTGGCCAGACTCCCAAATATATATACAAAACAAGAGGGGGTTGGCTGCACTCACCTTAACATGCATAAATGGGGGTGCTGCTGGAGGCCAAATAATACAATACACAAGATCCAGCGCACTCACCTATCCACTAAACAGCAACTTCAATGTTGAAAGATTTTACATACATATATATACACACACACACACACACATTCTACATTTATATTTAACTATTAACTACATAATTATTTGATTTTATTAATTATAATTTCAGGGACCTGCCTAACAATCCAGGCAGAAAGTCCGGAGAATTTAGTTGGCAAGCCCTATATTTAACCCTGTAACTTTCCAAAACACCATAAAACCTATACATGGGGGTATTGTTATACTTGGTACTTTGCTGAACACAAATATGAGTGTTTTAAAAAGTTAAACGTATCACGACGATGATATCACCAGTAAAAGTGCAGTTTTTATTTAACAATATGCAAAAAACTAATTTTAACGTTGGCCAGCGTTTGTGTCTAAGTGGCTTCTACGAAAGATTGGAAATATCCCATTTTGAATACCCTGGGTTGTCTACATTTGAAAATGGTATGCCATGATGAGGTTAATTCACATTCCTGGGCTACCATATGGTCTTAACCCCTTAAGGACCAAACTTCTGGAATAAAAGGGAATCATGACATGTCATGTGTCCTTAAGGGGTTAAAAGGCAACATAGATCCAGCACACCAATCTGGCATACTGAATAAGGCAAGTCCTATATTGACCCTGTAACCCTCCAAAACACCATAAAACCTGTACATGGGGGGTATTGTCATACTCTAGAGACTTCGCTGAACACAAATATGAGTGTTTAAAACAGTAAAACGTATCACGACAATGAAATCACCAGTAAAAGTGCAGTTTTTGTGTAAAACAATGCAAAAAACTAATATGAACTTTGGCAAGCGTTTGTGGCTTCTACAAAAGACTGGACATACCCCATTTTGTATACCCTGGGTTGTCTACTTTTTCAAATGGTATGTCATGGTGGGGTTAATTTTCATTTCTGGGCTGCCATACCGTCTCAAAGGCAACATAGCCAATCTGGCAACTAGCAATTTACAAAAACAGAAATAGTTTGACCCTGTAACTTTCCAAATCACCATAAAACCTGTACTTGAGGGGTACTATTGTACTCGTGAGACATTACTCTACACAAATATGAGTATTTTAGAGCAGTAAAATGTATTATACTGATAATATCATTGGTGAAATGGCAGCTTATGTGTGAAAAAGGCAAAAAATAAATAAATATATATATATTAATATATATATAAACGCTAATTTTGCCAAGGGTTTATGACTAAGTGGCTACCAAAAAAAGACTGGACATACCCCATTTTGAATACCGTGGGTTGTCTACTTTTACAAATGGTATACCATGATGGGGTTTATTTTCATTCCTGGGCTGCCATATGGTCTCAAAAAGCAATAGGCCCAGCAAACCGATCTGGCAAATTTCAATGTGCAAACATGGAAAGGGAAAAGCCCTATATTTGACCCCTGTAAGTTCGCAAAAACCCATAAGACCTGTACCTTTCGGGGTGCTGTTGTGCTCATGAGATGTTGCTGAACACATATTGGGGTGTTCTTTGTCAGTAACACATAACAGGAACTGAGAATCCATGCCTGAAGTACAATGTGAGAGAAAAAACAAACAAAATATATGGTGTGATGGGGGTAAATTAGATTGGCCGGCTTCAAAAATGTCCCAAATAGGACATGGTGCATGATAACCAGCTGTGAAAATTCCAAGTTGGAAAACTGGAATGCGCACCCTCTAAATACGGTCATTTAGCCCCCAGTGTACCCGACACACCTATACATGGGTGGTATCACTGTACTCAGGAGATGTTGCTGAACACATATTGGGGTATTCTTTGGCAGTAACCCTTAAAATTCTAAGTGCATGTTCTTAAATTGCTATGTGTGTCAAAAAAAATTATCAATTATTATTATTTTTAAATTTGGCATAGATTGGTGGCAAAATGGTTGCATGAAAAGAGTCAAAATACCCCAGGTTTAATACCTTAGGTTGTCTTATTTTAAAAACTATATACATGTGAAGGGTTATTCAGGGATTCCTGACAGATATCAGTGTTACAATGTAACTTTCGTTAATTTTGAAAAGAAAATGGTTTGGAAATACTTGTGCTTATTGCCCTATAACTTGCACACAAAAAAGCTAAGAACATGTTAACATTGGGTATTTCTAAACTCAGCACAAAATTTTTAAACTATTTAGCATGGGTGTTTTTTTTTGCGGTTGTAGATGCGTAACAGATTTTGGGGGTCAAAGTTAAAAAAGGTTTTTTTTAAAACTTTTTATCATATTTTATAAGAAATTTTATCATAAATTATATGATATGATGGTATCTTTAGAAAGACCATTTAATGGTGAGGAAAAACTGTATATAATATGTGTGGGTACAGTAAATGAGTAAGAGGTAAATTACAGCTAAACACAAACACTACAGAAATGTAAAAACAGCCCTGGTACTTAACGGTAAGAAAATTGAAAAATGGTCTGGTCACTAAGGGGTTAAACTGTGATACTTTCCATGTAAGTTAGTTGAGGATCATGGTAATTCATGGCTAACAAAGGCTGATTTCTCGTGAATAAGGCATAAAAGTCCAGAACATGTTCGTTTCAGTGTTTAAAATCTGGACCTTGTCAATCAATTTCCATCAGTTTCTGTTGAGGTGGGTTTCTAGCTATGTATTTTGCAGGAAATACAAAACACAGCAAACTTGACCTCCATATCCTATAAGGTAGGCAACCTTCGCCACTCCAGATGTTATGAACCACATCTCCCATAATCCTCTAACAACCATAATGCTGGTAAAGCATCAAGGGAGAAGTAGTCCACAACGTCTGGAGTGCCAAAGGTTGCTTAACCTTATCCTATATATAATAGTACTCATTCAGTTAAATAGATGAAAGAACATGACTGTAGGCAGAGACTGCACACACCAACCAAATTCTGTAACAGTGTGATTCATGGTTCTAGGTGACCACATTCCTTGCCGTAATTAAAGGGACACTTCTAGATGGGCCAGCCAACATAACCACTTTATCTCAATGAAGTCAGTATGGGAGCTGGAGTCACTGAGTGCAATATTACTTTACTTGATACTCTCAGCCTGCTGGCACACTCGGCAAAACCTTCCAGATCATTGCAGATTGAGGTGGCCATTAGGTAAGACCAGCATCTCGGTACTCCTGCTACCTTAATATCTTCATTAAAATTAAATTTATGGGTGGGAATGTTCTTTTAAGTGAAAGGAATGACCCAATATTCCGAGTTCCATATGGACTGCATTTCCACCTATATTTATTGCTCTTGCTTTACAAATTTTTTTTTACAAAAATACCTACCCGCACCCAGAATACTAAACAGCCTTAACTAAAATTAAACAGTAACAAAGTAACAAAATAGTGTGTATTGTGCAATAAATAATAAAAAATATTATATTTTATTATAATTATATTTTTATAACCCTTATAACAAGTGTACAGCTAATAATGTATTATGTGTGCAGGTATATTATAAAAAATATTCACTTGTTGATGATAAGCCATATTATATATAATCCTAATTGTTGTTGTACAATTTTTCATTTCGGCTCACATAGAACTCTGCTACAGTGATCTGATATCCCCTGCTAGAATTATTTATTGTCCGACCCTTGGCATTTCCATAATCCGGGAGTCAAGTCAGTACTTAAACCTTTTAGAGCCGAGATAAGGTTAGAAATGCCACTGTAAGACAAATTAATGAAAAGTGCAACTTGAAACCCAGAAACCAGGTGAGACAAGGTTATATATAGCCGTGCACTTGTTACACCAAGATCGTTCGACACCTGATACCTTCGAGGACACCATAAATGCGTAGAATGTATACAAGTGATCTAGTATTGGCAAAGCAGTGTATTGAAAAATAGATTCCCCTCTCTATTTCATTTGTATCTCTTGTGATCAAATTATCCTGAGAGTGGTGACTTTTGCCAAAGTTGTAACTATAAATTGTAAGCATTAGTACAGTGCGGTGTCCCAAGCTATAATATTTACTGCTGTATCCAACTGAAGCCCTTCAAGTTGGGAGGTAAGGGCAAAAAAAAGTTGGCAACACAAACACATAAAAAATTAAAGCTTTCTTGCTATCCAGTTATAAGTCCAAATTGATTTATTCATTAAACCATGCATTAAGTATAATGCTAATACTTAAAGGGATAGTCAGTGTAAAATAAGTGTATGTTTTCTATATAATGTTTTTTTTCCCATAATTTTGTTAAAATGTTTTTGTTCCTATTTTAGCTTTTCTCTCACAGCCCTCCTTCCTGAAGGCATATAGAATATGAATTACCTTACAGTGCTTCCCATCTTTATAATTTGGATTTCACTTAAAGGAACATTCCAAGCACCATAACCGTTACTACTTTTTGTAGTGGATATAGTGCCAGTAGTGCCTTGGTACTTGGATGCCTTCCCCGCATCCGTTCTTCCACTGCAGAGGAAGCTGGATGTTTTCAGTAAACTAAGCTGATCCGATAAAGGGTTGCGCTCATTGTCTAAGACAGGGGTTCTCAACCCAGTCCTCAGGACCCCCTACCAGTCCAGGATTTGGGGATTACCTGGGTGTGTCTCAGGCGTTTAGAAAAAGGGAAAAAAACACAGACTCTAAGGTGTTTTTTTTTTTCTTTTTCTAAACACCTTAGACACACCCAGGTAATCCCTAAACCCTGGACTGGTAGGGGGTCCTGAGGACTAACGTTGAGAACCCCTGGTCTAAGAGCAATGAACTAACACTCTCAGCAAATGGGAGTGACCTGTCATGGCCCTGTTTAGCTCAGTGAAGCTAACCGTGTTCTCCTGCAAGAACAATCCAGATTCAGGAATTTCAGATGTGAGCATATGTACTTGTGTATTATACTGGCGTTTTCCTTTAATATTGGGTCGGTATATCAATGAACAGCCAATAGAATTCAAGAGCGGAACAACCTTAACTCATAGAGTGCTAGTGTGTTAGTGCATGTATGACTGTCAGTGGGTATGGTAGTGTGTGCCTCTGTATGTCTGAATTATGTGTTCCCTATTAAGGGTTAATAAGTATATAGGGGTGTATGTAAAAAATACCCCTCTCTGTCTCGTTAGAGATATCTTTGCCAGAAGCTCAAGGAAGCAGGCTGAAGGGTCAGTGTTAGGACCCGCTTAGGGGGGTCTGCCTTGACGTTGGCAGGCGGGCATTCCCTCCAATGGCCATTGGAGCAACTAAATGACCTCCATTTGTCTAAACACACATAGGGCTTAAGGAGAGAGCGCAGGTAACTTTTTCTTTTCTTTGGTTTTTACTATATATTTGGGCTGATGTGTACTGTAGTCATTGCTGCCGGCCCAGTAGTGATGGGAGTGAGCGCAGGACTTCTTTTTGTATTTGTATTTACTTTGTATCACACAGCCTTATTACAATGCTGCCGCCCATCCCATGTGTTCCCTATTAAGGTTTAATAAGTATATAGGGGTGTATGTAAAAAATACCCCTCTCTGTCTCATTAGAGATATCTTTGCCAGAAGCTCAAGGAAGCAGGCTGAAGGGTCAGTGTTAGAACCCGCTTAGGGGGGTCTGCCTTGACGTTGGCAGGTGGGCATTCCCTCCAATGGCCATTGGAGCAACTAAATGACCTCCATTTGTCTAAATATACATAGGGATTAAGGAGAGAGTGCAGGTAACTTTTTCTTTTCTTTGGTTTTTACTATATATTGTGGCTGATGTGTACTGTAGTCATTGCTGCCGGCCCAGTAGTGATGGGAGTGAGCGCAGGACTTCTTTTTGCATTTGTCTGAATTAGTGTCTATGTTTAAATGTCAGCGTGTGTCTGTGTATGACTGTCAGTGGGTGTGGTAGTGTGTGTGCCTCTGTATGTCAGAATTAGTGTGCCTATGTTTAACTGTCAGCGTGTGTCTGTGTATGACTGTCAGTAGGTATGTTAGTGCGTGTCTGTGCAAGTCTGAGTTAGTGTATATCTATGTTTAACTGTCAGTGTATCTGTGTGTCAATGTGTGTCTGTGTATGACTGCCAGCAGGTATGTAAGTGCGTGTCTGAGTTAGTGTATGTCTATGTTTAACTGTCAGTGTGTCTGTGTGTGATGAAATGTCTTTTGTCACTGGATTTTTAGGTGACAAGCTGCCCTTTGCCCCTGGCTGTTGGAGGAGCCTGAGTGCCAGCCTCCTGCCTCATGACTATGGCCCTGGGTTGTAAGGCCCTTTACAAACATTATTTGGGCTAATGGATTTATATTGTGCTGCTGCTGGCCCTTTAAGAACTGCATTGTGGTTTATGGACTTGTATTGGACCATGCTGGCCCTTTAAGAACCGTCTGGGGATATATTGAGACTTTGTGTGACAATGCCCCTTTAAGACTATGTCCCCAGACCTTTAAAATACTTTGTCTATGGCTTTCTCCCACTTGGTTCAGTAAATGGAGCTTACTGAACCAAGTACCACACAGGCGGACCACCTAGAAGTGGAAGTGTGCAGGCAATTTACCTCCCAGGCTGGGAGCCTGCTGTAGGTAAATTGCCGACCGCTGGGTGGCCGCGGTTCGTGCAAACCAACACTTGGCGGCGGCCTTCTTTGTTCATTCAAACGAGGTAAGCGGTATGTGTAGCCAAATTCATGGACGTGAAATCGACCGGCCGCACAGCCCAAATCTATATGGAACTGTTTTGGGCAGGAAAATATGCTTGCGGTAGGTCATAAAGGACTTCTGTCTAACTTTTTATCTACTGGATGGATTTGTCTGATTTTTGAGAGTGTTTATATTTAAAGTGTGCTGATTCTGAATATGTAAGATTGCACGTATATTTTTAAAGTTACAGTGTATGTATAAAACTATTTTTCCTGTCTGTGATAATTATGTTAACCATTGTGTACCATAATTATATCACAGGCAGAGGGGAGGATTTTGTGTGTAATTGCTGGGAGTGGTTTCTGTAATGTACGTGTGTTATTGGTTGTTCTGTAAAACCCTGTGGGTGGTCCTATGTAAGGAAAACCTGCATAAAAGAAGGCCCTTTGGTGCCAATTAAAAGCAGATCATCTTGTACCTTCATGAAGTTTCAGCTCATGTTTGGGGGATTGGAGATCTACACTCTGGGGAATTCTATAATCACTATACTCCCCAGGGTATAATCACTAAGCTCTGCTAAGAGCTTGTTCCTGCTCTCTGGAATTCGGAGAGATCGACCTACTGGAAGCTGGACCCTGGTCTTGGGTCCAGAGTGAGTAGAGACGGCGAGACGCCAACCAAGCTGCGGCGGTTCGTGGGGTCTGTAGTGGTTATGGTGTCGGGCAGAATGCTTAGAGTCCTCGGAAAGCACTAGGAGCATCCGTCAGTGTGCCAGCGGTTCCGTTACACTGTGTGTCTGTGTATGACTGTCAGTGGGTGTGTTAGTGCAGTGCCTGTGTCTGTGTATGTTTAACTTGGTGTATGACTATGTTTAACTGTCAGTGTATCTGTATGTCTGTGTATGACTGTCAGTGTGTTAGTGGGTGCTATGTGTAACTGTCCATTGTGTCTTTGTTTGCCATGCACATGTACAGATGGTTTTTGCTACAAATCTCTCTTCCTTGAACCAAAATGAATCTGAAATGTGCCAACATTTCCACTTTATTCTTTAGTATCATTAAGTTGCTAAACATATTAATATTTTAAATTCTAAAACTATCATTTATGTTTTATATTAATAAACCAATTGAGTGCCAAAGTGATCTACACCCCGGTGGATTGCCATTTTACCATTTTCTTTTGTCATTGAATTAACATTTCTTATTTAACTGTTTGTAGATGGCAATAAACTTCATACCTGTGTGCTACGACCACCTGGTATTTATGGACCTGATGAGAGGAGACATTTACCCAGACTTGCTGTAAGTGTACCATAACAGGTAAAAGTCATGTAGCGGTAAATATGTGATGTTAATTACCTTTGTCCTCTTGTGTATGCTCCAAAATCATAGTGTCTCTGCGAATTTGGCAAAGTTCCCAGACAGTGACAGTGTCGCTTTCAAAGGTTAATATGTCTACTTACATTTGTCATTGTGAATGCGCTTCAAATAATTATTAATTTTGTGCATATCATATATAGGGTATAATTTTAGATTCACCCTGTAGCAATTAATCTGTTTAATAATTGTCTGTTGCAGGCACTGTAACAACTCTGCTTGTGTTTCCGCAGGTAAATATTGAAAGAAGACTACTGTGTTTCAAATTTGGAAGTAACAGCACCAAAATGAACTGGATTCACTTGTGCAATTTGATAGAAGCTCATATCTTAGCTGCCAAAGGCCTGACCTCTAGCAAAGAATTTATAGCAGTAAGTAAGCTGAATGTATACTAAAAGCATAGCTTAATTAGGGGCAGGGAATTACAACTGATGACGAAAAGGTCCAGGTGGGCAAACTAATTCTAAGCAGCTCTAATTTGGAGAGCTGGAGATATCACTTGTTTTTCTGGTAGACCCACGTTTGACCAAATTGGGATATTTATCTCAATCTTTAATTATCTGTCTTCTTCATCAATGTGTTTTCCTTTAATGCTTTTTTTAATTGCAAACTATAGTAGCATCATAGATGACAGAGGACCACTGACTGATTAGAACTTTTTAAAATCATATTTCAGAGTGGAAAAGCATATTACATTCATGATGGGGAAAATGTGAATTTATTTGACTGGCTTCATCCATTGGTAAGTATTTTTTAGAGCATGTCTGAAAAGCTTGTAAACACAGAACAAGAGCAATTCTCTTTCCCCTATGAACTAGAATAATAATTTCATGGTTCCTATCTATGTTCAGTATTTGGTCTATAAACATCTGGGTTCCATATTTCTGAGGAGGTAAAAATTGCAACCAAGTCCCACGCATAATACCTAAATACTTTAAATTTATGTTCACCTCAAGACTTCTACTTCACCAAGCCACTCTGAGACCTACCTGCTCACCTGGGATTCTGAGGTCCTTAAGGTCCTTCAAAAAAAAAAAATATATATATATTTTTGCACAAATTAAGATTCAAACAGAAATGTTTTTTTGAGATTGATGTGTTTAGATTCTGACTCATCAGCACCAGTCTATCTTCAACCATCTATAGAACTTGTGAGATGACTTGTGACACTTATTGTTATCCATGCTTAATCACCCAACATTAATATAAACCACCTCCCTCAGCCAGGTTTCCACATAGGAGTAAACGTTGAACCGGTGTCTAATTCCATATTAATGATTTTGATCTGAGATGTTCATTAAACGTGTGTCCACATACGCTAGGCAAGATACATCTAAACGCCAAGAGTCATTGGACATTCTGTAGGACATATTGTTACTTATTTTGTCCTCTTTTCTCTTGGGCATTTTTAGTTTGAGAAACTGGGCCAGAATGATCCATGGATAAAGATTCCCTCTTCGTTAGTGTACACTGCAGGTAAAAAAAAGTATTCAACATTCTTGGCTATAGCACTGTTTCTTGCAGAGTGTTTTCCATGTATTCAGTAAGCATGTCAGTACGCAGAAACCTAAAATATGACCAAAGAATGGCAACCTACCTGTTGTTGACTACAGGTCCCATACTCCTTATTCAGCCTCTGTCTGGAAGAGTGTTCATAGACATTAACACCACCAGGGTGGCCTAGATTATCCTTCCCTTCCCTATAATACAAAGTCATATGTCTGTTAAATAATCAAACCAAGCCCTAGTGAAGCCTACACAGGGAATATGAATAGAGGATAAAAAAAGGTACAAATCGAAGCAATATTATATGTGGGCTGTCAGAAGACCTTCTAATGTATATGTAGAAGAGTCTGAGGACCACTCTCCACCAGGTATTCCCTGTATATGTGCAGACTTGAAAGTATCATGTTCTGAGAAGTGGTGGAAGGTTTAACGGTGGAGTACTCACCGATGGAATGTTCCTACTGATTTAATCGGTTCACACGCTTATTGCCTCTACTTTAACATCCAACATAAACAAGTGTTGTCTGAATTCTTTAAATTAATACGTTAATAACCCATATTGTAGAAAAGTTTTGTTTTTAAAAACAGAAACAGGGCTTTACACTTAACTAAGAATTGTCAAGATTTCAACTTTTCAAATTTAAAGCCAAAGAAGCCAATCTAGAAGCAGAGCTGGCCTGGATAATGTTTTTGGGTTAGCTATTTCGGCCTTAAAATTTAAATCTACTTTGAATTCCTAACAATTCTCACTTCAGTGACTAACCCTGTATGTGTGCAAACATCTTGATATTTATTTTATATGAAATATCAAAGTAATAGATGAATGCAAGGAAAAGCTAAGACATATGAAGAGACCAAAAATACAAGTAATTGTAACATCATCAGAGGAAGTAATTGTAACATCAAAAGAGTACAAGATTGAAAATTAGAACTAACAGCTATTTAAGTGGCAACAAACATTCTTATCAAATATTTTTATTTTATTTTTTTTAATTCTTTATTTTTCACTCAATAGACATAGCAAGTGTACATCCACTTTTGGGCCTACACAGAATCCAACTTGAATACAATTCTTGGAAACATAATGCAGTTCAACAAATACAATACATGCCCTGTAGCGGATGGCAATGGGCTGTCCTCAAGGATTCGTTTTACAAATGTATTTCGTGTAATTATTGCTACGTGTAGAACTATTGTATATAGTTTTCGTCTGATTGTTCGGTAGTTTTCATTCCGTTTTTCATACGAATGAAACTATCGAACCATCAGACCACCCCAGTGAGGAGTGTGCACCTCATTAAGCTTTCACACTCTGTAACCGCAACCTAATTGACCGTAAAATCGCTACTTTGTATGTATCTGTGTGGTCGCCATTCGGCATACGAACCACGTGGCGGCGGCCGTCTTACGCAAGAAAATCTCAGTGGTGTTTGGTCGTTGAGTGTCTGGAACTCAAATCGGACACTCAAACAACCGAACACCGCTGAGACCTCCAGAGCTCCGTAACTCCCGAACGGAGGGGCCAACCAGACCCTCGTTCGGTGAAATCAATGTCCCGAACAATTAATACGAACGTAATATGATGTAATTTTTTTTTTTATATATATATATATTTATATTATCTTCCAGTGTGTTTCAATAAAATTCTAATTGGTCCACTATAGAGGATGACTGCCTAAGAGCTAGAACTTCCTTAATAGATGGTATATTAGGTGATTTAGTCAGAAAGCCCCCAAAAAGTCCTTGAGAAAGCAAAGTTATGTATGATAGCACCATCTAGTGTTTATTAGGATTACTGCAACTTAGAACTAGACTCCTGTGGTTCTTTTGTGACAAAGACCCAAATAATATCCAGGATATTATCTTGGGAGTACATTATATATTTTTTTACTGTAATATTATATGTAATTAAATTAATTCTGCAAAACACCTTCATAATGTTAGCTCTTCTGTACTTAGCCTTGCGGTCCGCTGATCAGCCGACACTTCGATCAGGCGGACCGCCACTCCCACGCAGCATGAGGTTCTGGTCAGCCTCATGGACGCTGCCTGCTGTGCTATGCTAACCATGCCTCCAAACATATAAAATCTGAGTCTGCCCAAGGCACAGTGCTCATTGTGGTTCCTAGTGTCACGAGTGTCTCAATAGTGTCTTCTTTTGTCTGTTTTGTATAATTTTGGTATTGACCCAGCTTGCTCTTGACTATTCTGTTTTCTGGCTTCCTTGACTTGGCTTTGTTTCTCGTATTGCATATTTCTGGCTTCCCTTGACCTTGAATTGCTGTGACGTTCCTTGAATTTATATTCTATTATCCGGCCATTCTAAGGACCGGTTTATGGACCTTCTATCTGTCTCTGTTACTTCTAGTGGATTCACATTCTGCGTGCTGGGTTATAGCGTTACACATAAGACTTGTTACAGGAGTCTCCACTGGTGCTGGCATTGCCAGGGCGTACCCACTGACATAGCATAAGTATCCAATTTTGTGTCTGGACCCAGGAGTTAAAAATCATTGATTTATAAAATAAGAAAAAAGAAATATACATAAGTCTATTTAAAAGATATGCAACCAGATCTTTGAACCATCTCTTACTTCTGTTATATCAGATAAAGTGGTATTTCCCTGCAAACAATCTGCTGGATCTATTTTAGCACTTATAACTGAACAGTGAATTGTTAGGACCTTAACATTAGTTTATATTACCATATTTGTGAAGGAATTCATGTAAACACACATTAAAGATTTACGCAATCACTCCCAGAATACGGCCATGAAAAAAAGATACACGCCTACATGTTTGCCATTTCCAAATTTAGATAAATATATATTCATTGTAACTGTCTTTTTCTACATATTGAATTTAAATTTGTATATGCACATAATGCATTCAATTCAGTTGCATACAACATGCACAGTACATACATTTATTCACAACCATTTCAGTATCCTAGCCTTCCACTTATCTCTCAGCTGCAATTTAGCCACTATGCTACATAATACCTCTATCAGAGTTATTTACTAAAAGGAGAAATCATTGTGAATTCAAAGTGAATTTTAAATATGAGGTCACCAATAGCTGAACAGGAAAAATGATCTAAGTCAGCTATACTTTCCATTCAACTGCTCTGCCCTAAAATATAAAATTAATTTTGATTTCTCACTATTTCTGTAAGTACTCCCACGTTTTACCACCCATTGCATTTCAGTTTATAAACACACACAATTATGTCTTGCACTACAACTCCCACTACTCCTGGGCAGCAGCAATGACTATAGTACTCAACAGGCCCAATACATACAATCAAGACAAAAATAAAAAAAATACTTGTGCATTATCAAAATCCCTAATGCACATTTAATAACTAGAGGTTTTTTATTGTCACTCGAATGGCCATTTAAGTGTAAGCTCACCTGCCACGTCAAGGCAAAACCTCTAAGGCAGGGGTTCTCAAACTCCGGCCCCCCAGATGTTGCTGAACTACAACTCCCATGATTCTTTGAATTACATAGATAGCCAGAGAATCATGGGAGTTGTAGTTCAGCAACATCTGGGGGGGCCGGAGTTTGAGGACCCCTGCTCTAAGGTGAGTCCTACAATAACAATTCACTAACAAAACCCCTGTGTTATGTTGTTCTTTACTCATGAATGATGTACATGTAACCAATGGTTTATAAATCTGTTATCTTTCAGCATATCTTTCAGAATACATGCAGATTGCATTAAGTCCAATTTTCCATTTGAATCCATTGCTGACTACAAGTGAGGTAAGTTTGATGTAGTAATGATTGTTAGTATAATGTAGGTTTATAGATGGTTTTCCTGTGCGTTTTCCAACGCAACAAAATCTCTAAAATGAAATGTTCCAGATTCTGTTCAGAATGCTACATGTGTTACCAATGTGATCACAAACAGTGCATTGTGGGAGTTCCCTAAACACTTGTGCAGCCTGAGTGTTTAGGGTACTGCGAGTCTACGATCTCTCATCCTGTCCAGCAGAACAAACCTTTTAATTATTTCTCACGCCATTTTTATAGTCAACTATAGGTTAATGTAGTAGTTCTGGTGTCTATAGCCTGTTCCTGCAGGCTTTTTAATGTAAATGCTGACTAGTAACGCCTCTAGCGGTGGTCAATCAGACAGCCACTAGAGGTGCTTCCTGGGTCAGTGCTGCACAATGTGCAGCACTGACGTTCAGCTTCTACACCCTCTGCATGGAGACACAGATAGTGTTCCTTTAAGTGCTCAATAGATTCAAAACTTTTTGGTTTCTTAATTCAATTCTGAATAGTATCAAATTGAAATTCAAATTAAAAGGTGTAAGTGACAATACCCAAGTTGTGACAATAATTGAGTTATAGAATTTTTTCGAAAATTTTTTTGCTTAACTTACAATTTGGATTTCGATGTGCAACAATCTTGATTTTACTGAATAAGTTAATTACTGAATAAGCCCTCATATGTTAAGTCTGTCAATTCTCCTGCTTCTTTTTCCTAGCAACTGGGCTATGCTATGGCATAGCAATCAGGTATCAACATTGCTGCCCGGGTCCAGCAGTGCCAGCTGTTGCCAAAAACCCAAGCGGCAGACACAAAATGTTTTCCAGGAAAACACGCTACGTACACAGAAAGGGTTATTTTATTTAGCAAAGTGAGAGTTATTGGGAATTCAAAGTGAAATTAAAATTGAATTTGTTATAGTGCCTTCACTCCTACGCCCCAAACCTTTTAATTTAATAATTAGATGGCTTGAAAGCAAGGCTTCATGCCATGCCTCCAAGCACTCTGGGTTACTTCTCGGCTCTTATACCCTAACATATCGTGATGTCACACGTGCATGAACACGGCCATGGAGAAGCATTGTATTTATTGATTCTCTATGGCAGAATCATAGGCACATTGCGGCAAGCTCCTCTATGAGGAATGTTAGATTGAACCATCATCTAAAGACAAGGAGGAGGCCCCATTCACACCCCTAAAAATTAAGTTGCCCCTCTTTTTTTTTTTCATTTTAAATGTTGGGAGGTATGAATTAGGTACCAACAGCAATGTGATCGAGCTTCCTGTTGGCACGCATTGTAGAGCCCTTCTATTAATAAAAGTATTTTATAGTTGTGGGCGGGTAAAAGAAAAACTTTGTGCTCTCTCTAACAGGTGAAGAAAATTGCGGTCACGCACACCTTCCGGATTGATAAAGCTCGGAAGGAACTTGGTTTTAACCCAAAGAAATTTTCCTTTGAAGACTCAGTTGACTATTATGTCCAAAGCAGGAGGAAGTCCTCCCAGAACAAGTTCATCTACAGCAAATTTATATTTGTCATGTTATGTTTCTTAATGTGTATGTGTTTTCCATTCCTTCTATAGGACTTTAACATCTTAAAAACCAAAAATGGGAATTAGATATTTTATTCGTTGTGTTAAATTGAAAATGATTTCATAATTTGTTTGACATTGTTTTGTTACTTGTTGTCGGGGCAGGATTAAACATTAGTGACCTTAGACGGTTACCTAGGACTCCATTCACCACTGTGAAGAATAAGGTGGGGACCCAAAATGTCCTTGTGGAGTCTTAATCTTTTTTTTTTTTTTTGTGGATTATATTGCAAAATACACAATTTTATAGCAAAGACAAATTTGAAGCACTACCTTGAACATTTCAGATATATGATGCAAAGGGCCTAATGTCACAGTGAGCCAATGACCTTCTTAGAAAAGAGTGCTCCACTGTAAGGCTTATCAACAAATGCAGAGCATTCTCAGATTAACCGTAGAAACACGGCAACAAGTTAAGTTTAAAATATGAATTCTTATTGAAAGGAAAAAGCTGTCAAATTTTGGCCTAGGGAGCAGTGGTTTTCTCACAGATCCCAGGAAATATCCCAGTTGCTGCATGATTGAGAGCAATATGTGAGGCTTCTTTTGTCTCCATAAATGCTTTATCTGTAAATAAAGTGCCCATTTTTTTAATTTTACCAAAAGTGCAGATTTCACTAGAAATGTACCCTTTTATAAATGAACCACGTTATACCCCCTGACTGTCAGATAACTGATCCTGTTACTTCCTGGTTTGGTTACCTCAATGAAGCCAAACTCAAGAGGCAGCAATTGCCCAGAGAACTTGCCTTGCAAAGACTTCTCATTGAGCTGCATTGGGAAGTCTGTGATTGGACAGCCACAGAAAGTCTGGGTGGGGTTTGAAGGGGAGGGCTTATAAAGGCTACAGACAATAGAGCTTCAGCTTTTGAAAGCTGTTTTGGTATACCACAATGAAAAAAATGCATAATTAAATACATGCATGTTTTCATTGGGGTATATGTACTAAATAGTGATTTTAGTTATTTTTTTAGACAGTTGAGTGTCCCTTTAATCTATGCACTTCTAAACTCAAATAAAAATATTATACTTTATCAGCATTTTATTTATTAGTATTTAATATTGCTATATGGAGAATTCAGCCATTGCTGTTTATGATAAAGATAAGGTGTGTGTATGTGTATATATATATATATATATATATATATATATATATATATATATATATATATATATATATATATATATATATATATATTTCTTTATGATAGTGATTTAAGAGCTGCTGTTATTTTTCTGCTGTTTACAAACACAAATAAACCAGTTTTTACATTGATATGCAAGTCATGGTGTGCTTTTCTAATATTATTTTTTAAAGGTCACAGAACACAGAAGAGAATTAGTGCAGCAGGAGCTCATTATCTGGGTAAAATCAATTTATGTACCCTTTGGGTTACTTAAAATGTGACTATAGCTGAGTTGGAAAATGTTTCCAAATCAGCACTTTTTGCCTACATTTTGCAGTGGTCTTTAGTTAAAGCAGTTCTATTGTGTTCGAAATACAAATCTGTATCCCTAACACTAAAGTTCCCTCTGGTCCCCCCTCGCTCGCACCCTTGATCCACCCCACATGTAAAGGGTTAAAAAAAAGTTTTACACTTACCCAATTCCAGCACCGATGTCCCTCGGCACTTGGTCAGCACTACGGCATCCCATGGCGAGCACATTAGGCCTTCCCCATAACAAAGCATTGATTCATTGTAATTTCCAGAACAAAGGGGGGCTAGGGTTGGTGCAGTGGAAGATTCAAAAACATTTTAACAGTTCGATATAAGGACATATTTTGATACAAATGTGCAATGAGTGTGAGGGGTGCAGTGTGTGTGAGGGGTGCAGTATGTGTTAGTGGTACAGTGTGTGTGTTAATGGGGGTGCAGTGTGTGTGTATGGGGTGAAGTGTGTCTGGGGGCAGTTTGTGTGTATGGGGGAGTAATGTGTGTTTGTGTGTGTGAGGGGTGCAGTGTTTGTGTGAGGGGCACGGTGTGTTAGGGGTGCAATGTGTGTATAGGGGTGCAGTCAGGGACGTATTAGCTGCGAGGCAAACAAGGCATGCTCGGGGGGGTTCTCTTTATCCCCGGGGTCCAGTGGCTGCCGGTCGGGTTGACATGCTGGGCGGCCGGCTGGCGAGGGAGCACTTCCTCTGAGCTGTCTGCTCAGCTCCCTCGCGCGCCGCAGAGTAAGGCTGGGAGCTGGGTTGATGACGTCATATTCCGGCTCCCAGCCTCACTCTGTGGCGCGCGAGGGAGCTGAGCAGACCGCTCAGAGGAAGTGCTCCCTGGCCAGCCGCCCGCCCAGCATGTCAACCCGCCCGGCAGCCACTGGACCCCAGGGATAAAGAGAACCCAAAGGTAAGGAGGCTGGGGGGGTGGGGGGGTCGGGTTAAATAAAAAAAAAAAAAAAGTGTTAATGTGAGTGATTGTTTGTATCTGACTGTGTGTGTTTGTGTCTGACTGTGTGTGTGTCTGACTGTGTGTGTGTGTGTCTGTGTCTGACTGTGTGTTTGTGTCTGACTGTGTATGTGTGTGTGTGTTTGTGTGTGTCTGACTGTGTGTGTGTTTGTGTCTGACTGTGTGTGTGTGTTTGTGTCTGACTGTGTGTGTGTGTCTGACTGTGTCTGACTGTGTGTGTGTTTGTGTATGTGTGTGTGTCTGTGTGTTTTAGAGGTGGGTGGGGTAGGGCTGGGTGGGGGGTAGGCAGGGGGAGGGGTGCCTGAGTTTTGTCCTGCCTAGGGCAGCACAAAACCAAGATACACTCACTGGGTGCAGTGTGTGTGTGTGTGTGTATATGGAGGTGCAGTGTGTCTGTGTGGGTACAGTGTGTGTGTGAGTGGGCAGTGTGTGTGTGTGGGGGGGCAGTGCGTTGGGGGGTGTGGGTAGCCTAAAGCAAATATGTTTTTTAATTCAAATAGTTTATGTCCCCCCTCCCTTCTTACCTTTACTCAGCGAGGGAGGGGACATTTCTCAATCCCTGGTGGTCCGGTGGAGAAGCCCTGTTGGTCCCAGTGGTGAGAGTGAACTCTAGCCTGCAGCTCCATGGCTACAGTCCACTCTCGCAAGATCTGGAGCGTTGCCATGGTAACCATGGCAACGTTCCGTGCTCGTGAGAGGAGGACCCGGAGGAGCTGAAGGTTAGAGCTCCTGGGTCCTCTCTCCCTCCCTGCCCTGCTGGCTGCCCAGCAAGAGGCGTTATCTCTAATGTCCCCTACGGTCCGTGAAGGCACATAGCAGGGCCGGTGCTAGATCCGCCACTGGTTTACACCGCACTTTCTAGGGCATGGGTTGGTAACCTCGTCCAGGACTACATCTCCCCTGATGCTTTGCCAGCATTATGGGAGTCCACAACATCTGGAGTGCCGAAGGTTGCCCACCCCTGTTTCTATGGGTTTTTCTCTGGATACCCAGAAGCAGGGCACCACAGTACCAAGCTGGGATGAAGGGTACTAAAATCATGACTATCTCACCACATTCAGGGCAGTGGGAGTTCTATATCATTATTTCAAAACCATGTGCTTCTAAAGTATATAACAATAGCTAACTATAAGTATAAAAATTACCCCTTCATCAAAAATCCCCAAAACTCAACATTTTATTTTTTACCCACTTTTTTTAAAATGACTATATTGAAATTAATTGTGTTTTTTGTCTCATCATTTGCTTTAAAAAATTTAATTTTATTTGGGATATTCTAAAGAAAAATCAGGAAAAAACATCTTTGGCAGCGGTGGGATTCGAACCCACGCCATCGAAATGACTGGAGCCTAAATCCAGCGCCTTAGACCACTCGGCCACGCTACCAAGCATATGCATGATGACCCTTATTTGCTATACATAGTCATATCCGTCTGTGTTACTTTCGTGAATTTGTTTTTACATTTTTGGAATGTTATGAATTAGTATAAATTGACTTGTTTTACATTCAAACGATTAGTACAGACTCCCACTTCATTATCGCAGCATTTTAACTGTACCTTGGATCGAATTGTGTTTGAGCACATTTAATCCCACTGTTAACCACCAGATGGCACTCTCTACATAAAATCCACCTATCTCCCTTGACTTTCTGTGGTTTCTTAAAGCATTTCCTATTTGCCTCTTTTTTCCCCCCAGTATATTCAATTTACATAAAATTCTAATCTACCGTTGAATCATTAAAATGGTCCCTGCAGACATGTTACCACAATTAAAAAAAAAATAAACATTTTTATTGATGTAGCGCTGGGGTTCCCAATTAATTTTTCCCTTTGACATAATGCGCTAACAATGTGGAACCCCAAATAATTTTTGGCGCCGTAACTCAGATAGTAGTACTTAGGTGCAGGTGTGCTTTTGTGTGTACAGTTGGTGTTGATATATAATATAGCGTTTTGATACAGAAGTGTGTTTGTATGTAATGTTTGCATTTGCGTGCAGGTGTGTGTGTTTGTATGTAATGTTTGCATTTGCGTGCAGGGGTGTGCTTGGATGTAGTGTTAGCTTTTAAATGCGGATGTACATTTGTGTGTAGTATTAGTGTGTGAGTGTTTGAGTGAAGGTTGTGTTTGAATGTTTGTATATAAATTTGTACATTTGAATCCAGGGGTTTTTGTATGTAATGTTTGTGTTTGCAGGAGTGTGTTGGTGTTTTATTACTGGGATGTATGCACATATATGTATTTGATTGCTGGGATGGTGTTTGATTGCTGGGATGTATGCACATAAGAGTGCTGTATGTATGCCACGTACATACATACACAAACAAATGAACACACAGACACATATATAAAAACATTGACACATACACACACATTCATATACACACTGACACAAAGATACAATCTTTGACACATGCACTGACCTTGACACACAGATACACACTGGCACATACACATACACACACACCAATACAGACATACTGACATGCACACACACACTCAGATACACACAGTGACACATACACAATCCTTGATACACAGTGACACACACTCACACACACACTCTTTGACCGACACAAAACCATATACACTCTCACTGACAAGGACACATACATTCTCAGTGACCAACACATACACACTCTCAATGACAAGCACACATACACTCTCACTGACAAACACATATACACTCTCATTGACAAACACACATACACACACTGACAAGCCCACATGCACTGTCACTAACAAACACACTTAAACACACACTTACTGACAAACACACATACACTCTCATTCGCAAACACACATACTGACAAGCACACATGCACTCTCACTGACTAACACACACATACACTCTCACTGGCTGTCTGTATTAATACACATACACACTCACTGACAAACACACATACAGACACAATCACTGACAAACACACATATAAAGTCCTTAACAGACACAATTTATTTATTTTTTTAAATTTCACTCCACCCAACCTCCCTACCTTTGGGAGTACTGGCACGGAGTCTCTGTTTCCTCTTGAGGATGTGGACAGTGGTCGGTGTAACATCATTGTTGCTTTCAGCCTAGGTTTTTGATGCAGAGGTTATCAAATGCTGCCAGAAAACTTTCTTTC